TACTGCTAATAATCTATCGTAGTACTAGATATTCTTGCTTTTTAAAACTTGCAATTTATTGAGTTCAGCATTTGGATACAACATACATTTTACCACATGCTCTGCAGATAAATTAAGGAATTTTTCCATGGTTTTGATACAAGTATTACCTGAAAACTGTGAACTGGATAACTTGAAAAGTGGGCAATCAAGTTCCACAATTGACACATTTCTAAATAAAATATTAGCTGTTTTTTTTTCCTTCCTTTAAATAAAAAATCACACTTACTATTATTGATCTCTCTCCTTTGACCCACACGCCCTGCAACACGTTCAAATTCAGATATTCGGATATTCACAATTCACAAATTCAGATATTCGGAACACCAAAAAATTGGAGTGGGTAATTCCATTGTAATAATATAATTTTTCAGGGACCTAAATTCATGACTTTCTGTGATTTCTTTTAAAAAATAGTTAAAATAATTAATAATAAATTTCATGACAAATTTTGTTCAATACTAAAATTCATGACTTTCCAGGTGCGCGGACACCCTGTCTATACAATGGGAATTTGAGAATCTAATTTGAGTAATTCAAGCAGAATGGTCAAAATAAATCTAGTCAGGATGTTTCAAAAATCCTGAATCGTATATTATTAAAGAATAGTAATGTCGCGCGTTCAATAACAGAACTTGTAAGGCAGAACAGAGTGGCAGGCACAGCAGATTTATTTCTGCCTAGCGAACATTTATATAAAAAAAAAAAATATGTAGAAGACAAATAAAACATAAAAATAAAACAATTGCTGATAAAAATAAGAACTTAAAACACAACTTATATTTTCTGTGTTAAAAACTTACTGTTCATTTTTGGGATTAGGTTTCAATTAATTAATTAGAAGTTGGTTCTTTTTTTTTTAAATATTACTGCTAATAATCTATCGTAGTACTAGATATTCTTGCTTTTTAAAACTTGCAATTTATTGAGTTCAGCATTTGGATACAACATACATTTTACCACATGCTCTGCAGATAAATTAAGGAATTTTTCCATGGTTTTGATACAAGAATTACCTGAAAACTGTGAACTGGATAACTTGAAAAGTGGGCAATCAAGTTCTACAATTGACACACTTCTAAATAAAATATTAGCTGTTTTTTTTTTCTTCCTTTAAATAAAAATCACACTTACTATTATTGATCTCTCTCCTTTGACCCACACGCCCTGCAACACGATCAGACATTTTGGGTTTGGCTGAATTTTTCAGAGCAATAATTTCTTCTTGTTTTCGTCTCAAAACATTTTCTTTCAACCGTTTCTCAGCTTCTAAACTCCGAATCTTATTCTCCTTCAATCTACTCTGCTTTTTAAGCTGAGCTATTTCTGTGGTTCGCCTTTGTTCAACCTGTTGGTGCTTGTGAGTGTCCTCTTTCATTTTATTAATCAAACGCACCTATAAAACAAGTATAAAAATAACAAATGATAATTCCAGACCTTCATGAGATTAATTATTTGATTTAGAAAAGTCACTAGTTTCAGCAGGGTCTTTTAAAAATCCTCTTCCTGTACAGGGTTTCCAAGATTAATTTATTGAAAAAGTTTGCAATTTTTTGTCCACCATTTATTTCTAAGAATGAATAATTCGACATTTTTCTGTGCTTATTTATTAATTTTTAAAATTTTATATTGTAATATTCTTTCTACGATGAGATTTTAAGCATGGAGCTTTTAGAAAAGGAAGGATTTTGCATTTATGGATCTCGTAGAAATAAGCATCTTGAAACGTTTAAATACTAAAAAGATTGTTTCATTATTAAATATCATTGGCGCAGTGCTCCATTCAGCTCCAGAAATACAGGGCCTTTGCCCTGTATTTCTGGGGAAATACAGGGCCTTTGGCAAATGCCTTGTTTCCAAAATCTTTATGAGGATTTCAAATGGGTTTTATAGAAAACAAGAGTTCATTTTTGTTAGTCCCATACAGAAAATTAAAAATAATACTTTTAAAAAAAATACTGAAATTAGAACATTAAAACTCCTTCAAATGATGTTAAAATGATTTCAATAATTGGACATTCCTATGCTTTTCAAAATTTTCTGTAATGAAAACAAGTATAAAACAAATAAAATTAAAAGATTTTTTTTAAATACTTAAAAGAACTAAAAATAAAAAAAAATTTGTCCCACAAAGCTAAAAACCACTCATCATTTAGATCTTTTTCTTTTTTTTAAAAAAAAAAAAAGACCAAGTGTGTAAGACTTCAAATGTTTTTAAATTTGAAAATATCCTTTATAAATAATACACTTCCCTTATAAATAATGCACTTCATTTTTAAACTTTAAAACAAGCTGACATTTCTCTCTATTCTAAAAAAAAGTTTTTGCAGTTAATTTTGTCCCCTGAAAAACTTTTTAACTACGTGATGAAAATCTAAGATTAAGGAATCAATTCATTCAGAATCTTTCAGGGAAGACATTTAGGGCATTCAAATCTTTTACATAATTTTAAATTTTTATTTATTTTAGTTTTAAAGCACGATTTTGCAGTTAATAATGAAGAATAACCGCCGTTCACAACAGCCAATCACATGTCTGAAAACGGCAAGCTTAAAAAAGCGATTTACAAGTCTGAATTTTCTTTTTCAGAGATGCAACCAATCACAAAATAGTTAGAATTTCATTCTTCAGTTTTACAACATCTCAACTTATTTCGTATTGATATATTGATTAATCTGATTATTTGTTTTCTAAAACGTTAATTCGTAAGTTTAATCTGGTTTTAAATCTTAATTCGATTTGTTTATTTGCAAGTAATGCCTAAAAAGAAAAGACCTAACATTACTAAAAAGTCGCAACTCAATGCGAAAGCTAATCGAAAGCGGGAAAAACGTAAACGTGGCGAGCGTCAGCGAGCAGGGGGCGGAGCCCTCTAGTTTCTTTAAAAATTAAGATTTTATAAGCTTATGAAAAAACAAAATTCCTTATAGCCTTTAAAACTATTTTTTTAAACAAAAATTCCTTCGGAAAAGATAGTTGACTCTAAAGTAGAAAGAGGAAAATAAAATCAAATACAAATGTGAACTCACAATTATAACATTTAAAACAAAATTTTCACTGATAATAATATCTCAACTTAAATACAAGGAATTTATTTAAAAGAAAAATGGTAATAAAAGCAAGAACCCATGTTATGAAATATTATGTAGGTTTGTTCCAAAAAATATATTGACTATAAGATGAAACAAGATTAATAAAAAATACACACTTTTGTTTTTTTCATCTCAGTAACTTCATTCTTAAGCTGTTGAATTTGTCTCTCAGACTGGGCTTGATGTCTCATTGCTTGAACATGTTCTTTTTTAATGACCTGCATTTTACGAAGTTCACTTTGGAGAGAACTCAATTTTTTAGCAAACTCTTCTTTAGCCTTTTTTACTTTCTCTTCTGATTTATTGTTTTTATTGACTGAAAAGCCAAAAAATAAAAAATTCAAAAATTTATTATAAATTTTAAACTTATTTCCACTATAGATTAAAAACGCAAAATATAATACAAACATTACAAACTAAAAATTAATTGCTTTTATTAATTTTTAAAGAAATATAAATTTTTATGTATATTTAAAATTTTTGCTTTTATTCACCAAAACATATTAAAAGTCAAAAGTTATTACTTTCATTGATTGTAAAAGAAAAATGTATAAGAAAATGACACATTTAAATATATTACTATTATTTACTGAAAAAGTAAAATTTAAAGACAAAAATTTAATTTCATTCCTTTCATTGACAGAAATAGTAAGATGAATTATAAAGCCAAAAATTTAATAATTAAATTAAATTATAAAGCAACATATCTGTAGCTTTTATTCTTTGTATGAGAAAAATATATTACTTAGCCACACATTTAAATTTATTGCCTTCATTGACTGAAAAGCAAAGTATATTATAAAGCAACAAATTTAAATTTAATAACTGAAAAAGCAAAGTATATTATAAAGCAACAAATTTAAATTTATTAATTGAAAAAGCAAAATATACTATAAAGCCATAAATGTTATTTTTTTTCTGTAAGATTCAAAATCAAACAAATGGTAATTCAAATTCACTAAAAATGAATACAAACCACTTAAATTAGCAAGAACACGATCTCTTTCAGATTCTGTTTCCTTAATTTTGTTTTCAAGAGTTAAAAGCTTCTCTTCATAGTGGTGTTTCATCATCCGTAAACGTTGTTGACTCTGTTCTAAAGCTTCAATTAATTTCTGCTTTATTGAGATATCGTTAGTAATCTGAGCTAAGTCAGCAGTGCAGGTATCTGTTGCAAATAGGAGAAAGAAAAAAGCATTAACAATTCCATTTAGCAATCTAAAACAAGTTGTCATTGCTCAGCAACATGAATAAAAATTCCTTTGATTTATGTAATCACATTAATTTTTTTGTGTTTGTTTCTAATAAAAGTATTTATCTTAAAAAAATGTCTTTATGTTTCCTTAATTCTCATTAGACAAACGAATCACATACAATAATCAAGGATTCAGATATTTTTTGCTGGCACTGGCACATAATTAATAAAATTTATAATGGTAGTTACCTGTTATTTACATATTTACACCTGATTTAACTGCATTTACTGGTAATATTTATTCATTAGTGTTAATACTTGTCTCTATTGTAACTTTTTGATTATTTAAAATAAAAGGTTTACAGCAAAAAGTTAAGGAAATAAATTTTCACCCAGCATACAAAATTTACAAAATAATATTAAATTTTAAGGCAATATAAAGAATCAACTTTTCATACTGTTGCTAAAGAATCTATTGAATAAGATTATAGTGAAAGAGAATATAAGAATTTATAATGTTAAAGAAAAATATGTAATGTTTAAAAATGTAATGTTGTTAAGAAAAATATGTAATGTTTTTTTTTTNGTAAATAAAAATTTTTTAAAATTTATTTTTCTCAAATTTATTTTTAAAAAAATTTAAAGAAAATAGTTAATATTTAAATAAAATAAGTAACCAAGCACAATGATTGGGTTTGAATTTTACCTAAGTAGATATTAAGTTTGCACTACATAAATTTTTTTGGGATCTTTTCATTTAATAATTTTCATGTAACAATTTGCTCATCACCAAGAAACAAAAATAATGAGAAGCAATCATAAAAGTAGGAAATCAAAGTCTCCGAGTACTGTCAGAGAGTTCCTAGTACTGGAGAAATTTATAATTATTTTAGAAGTAGCTTTGTTATAATTCAGAAGAAAAAGTTTAAAAAAAAAAAATTAGAATCCTTACTGATGTTCAAAAGAAAAATACATAAATAAAACTTTGAAAATTCTACTAACACATTTTAATGGTACTTCACATGTTATCCTGAAATTGAAGTGCCTGAATATAAAAAGGCCTTTAAACTATTTTGTAACAGACTCGTCTTAAATTTTAAAAAATCATTTTATTATTAAGTTTTAAATTATTTCTTTTATTAAACCTCGAATAGCACTCAAGGCATGAATATACACAGCACCATTAATTTAAAATAAAAATTTATACACTGACTGTACGAAAAGGTAAGAAAATATTTACTATTTTTATAATTACAAAATATAAATATCCTATAATAGGAAAATAGTCCCTCCCAGTTTTTTTTTTTTCTAACCATGAGAACAAAAGAAAAGTTACTTTTGTATTTAAACTACATAATGTTATTATTTCCACTTATAAAGCATGATTAATCATCAAAAGCACCATAATTCATCAAGCATCATCATAATATCTCAAATTTAATTATTAATACCATTAGTATTCATCTCATCTGAGTCGGACTCTTCGGAACTATCATCATCATCGTCATCTGAGCTAACTCCATTCATAAGATCACCATTTACATTGCAATTCGTATCCTAAAAAATAACAATAGTAAATTATTATAAGATCAAAACATTTACATTAAAGTTATTAAATTAACTCTAGACATGGAGTTTTAGGATGGGTCAGACAGTTTGGATCGGCAGATCAGAAGTTACTCAATTTTAAAGGTTTAAGAAATTTTTCATCAGTTTATTTCAGATTTATGAAAATTGTAGTCAGTCCAAAAGCATATGAAAAATAAAAATCTTGTTTATGATTGATCTATACAAATGAATGGTTTAATTTGAATCTTTTTAAAAAAAAACTATGCAAATTAAACTACAAGTAATTAAATATCATATCTAAAATATTTGATAATCACAATTGAAAATCTTGTTTGCTAACACAATTTTATGACTAGATAGAGGAAAAAAAATAAAAAAGTACTATTTTAATGGTATCCAAAGTGTCACAGAAATGAATGCAGATTTTACTAACACGTAGTCCACAAAAGGACATGTTGCACCAAACAAACTGTTTTAAAAATCAAATTGTCACTGACAATACAGCTAGTTTACTTGATTAGGAAATAATGTATACAAATTTTTTTTTCCTTATTTGCTTTGGTTAGTGTTATAAATTATTGTATAAAAATTCAAATAAAAAAATTTACGAAAAATTGCTGAAATTTTTTCCAAAAGCACCATAGAAATAGAATTGGAATAATCCTTTTTAAGGCACTTAAATATGAAATTCAAACAATTTCTCTAAGTTCAAACATGGCCAATAAGTTTTACCTTAAAAAATATTTGCATGAACTTTAGACTTTAAGACCAAGAAAAATAGATTTTTAAATTTAATCTTTTAGTTTAAGCTCTATTTTAAAACACAAATGAAGTGTTTGAATAAAGAAAAAATAGTCTTAATTAAAAGTAACCTTTCATAGCCAACAATGCCTTTCGTCCGCAGGACAAATAGATCTTGCAGGGGTGCTACTCGCAAAATATCAAATTGTCTCACCAGAAATTGCATTTCGTCTCAGTTAAAATCTCTTTTTGGCTCAGTTTGTCTCAGCTAAAATTATTTTTTTCACTCAGTTTATCTCAGCTAAAATGATTATTAATCAGTTTGATAACAATATAAAGATAATTTTCAGGATCCATAAAACCATTAATAGCATACTAGGAGTACTACAATTATACATACATTCACTATTGCTAGGATTTTAAAAAACCTGCATATGATTGATTATAAGAGTCCACAAAATTGTTTTATGGACTCTGTTGTTTTCATATATATTGCATTTATCATTTATGCCAATGAATAGTATCTGTTCCAGAATTTTACAAAGTAAATTTTAACTTTCTTATTTTTTAAAATATAATGGTGTTAACTTTCTAAAAAGAAATATCTATTTAGTTTCAGTAATTCAAAAGGGAAAATACCCATTTTATTTTGAGCTCAAATTTCATCTCAAAATATATAACTATTCAGTTACAATGAAAGGTCTACAGATTTCAATAATTAAAAGAGAAATTCAGTAATTAAATAATGAGAGTTTAAGAAAATGCAAATAACACAAAAAAAAACCCTCTTTGATAGAATTCAGGAGGTGCAGTGAAATTTTGAAATATTTTAGGTAGGAATTTTTCAAGAAAATTTTAGGGAGCACTTAATAGCCAAAAATTAGCATATATACATTTTTATATCAAAACAGAAATATTTAAAAACTATTATAAACAATTTAAAAAGACACATATAAATATAATTTTCTTTCTAAAATGACTTGCATCCTTTATTAAGTATAAAAGTAAACTTTTTAGTTTATTGGCATTGACTAGTAGATTGTACTTTCTTGCATTCACAAGATTAGTTAGTTGACTATGTTCTTTTAATTTATATAGCTAAATATACAATCATAAAATGTGATTATGAATGCACTTAGTAATTGTTTAAATGCAACAACTGTAGAAAAATATATCACATCTTTACAGTAACTAATTCAAGAAAAAACTTAATTCTACTTCTTTCTAGAATCGTGAAACTGGATTTTAAAATTGCGTGAATATGAATTGCGATTTTGGGTTTTAAAATCGCGTGAATATGAATCGCGATATTGAATTACAAAATCGTGTGAATATGAATCACGATATTGGATTTTAAAATAGCGTGAATATGAATCGCGATTTTGGATTTTAAAATCGCGTGAATATGAATCACGATTTTGGATTATAAAATCACGTGAATATGAATCGCGCTGCTGAATTTTAAAAACACAAATCACGATATTGGATTATAAAATTGCGTGAATATGAATCACTATTTTGGATTTTAAAATTGCGTGAATATGAATCGCTCTGTTGGATTTTAAAAACGCGAAAATACAAATAGCAATATTGAATTTTTAACGCGCGTAAATAAGAATCACGATGATTAATTCTTAGATCACGTGAATACGAATCGCAATGAGTAATTTTTAAATAGCGTACAATTACGAAAAACGAGATCTGATATTACAACTGCGTGATAAAGAATCGCAATATTGGACTTAAAAATGCGTGAATACGAATCGCGACGTTGGATTTTAAACTCGCGAGAATACAGATCGCGATATTGAATTTTTAAATTGAGTGAATAGGAATTGCTAGTACGATTTTTAAATAGCGTAAAAAAATAGCAAAACGCAAGTTTTAAATCAGTTAATACGAAAATCGATGATTGATATTAAAATCATCTGATCAAAAATCGCGATTTTAGCATATTCCAGCGCAGTTCCCTAATATTTAAAATTCGGAAAATCAGCCAAACAAAAAAAAATCAAATATCGACGGTCGAAACGAAACGCTTAGACTCCTTTCCACTCTATAGCGGAAGTCGCGGTAATCCAACTACCGTTCCGGCGGCTTGGGTTTCTCTACTTGGACTCCCTAAAGTTATTGTTTGCATCTTTAANAAAAAAATCAAATATCGACGGTCGAAACGAAACGCTTAGACTCCTTTCCACTCTATCGCGGAAGTCGCGGTAATCCGACTACCGTTCCGGCGGCTTGGGTTTCTCTACTTGGACTCCCTAAAAATTTTAGTTTTTGGAACATGGTCAGAAATTTTAAAAATTGGGAGGAAAATGCGGATTTCCGCTTTTTTGCGAAAGTCTTTCATCCCTGAATTGTTATGTGCACTGTACAGTTTTCTAAGAAAAAAAGCAAGATAATAACCAATAGTATAAGGGAAGAATACCCTCCTTTTTTTACAAGATCACGGGCATACGATACTGATTGCTACTCACTGTTGTGCATAATCCAATTGTAGACACGAAACGCATATTCTATATGCATTCCAATAGCTGATTCGCCAAACGGAATTTCTGACATTTAAATGACGTATGTAGGAGGCGTGAACGGCAAAATGCTCTCTAATGACTCACGGCGATGCGGATTAATATTTGAAACTGAATTCAGGTTTGTCAAATTTTGGGCGTTTGTCTCAGAATGGCGCAGCTTTGGCAGAAACTGAGCTGAATGTCGCAAAATGGCGCAGTAATGCCGTTTTGTCTCAGTTTGTCGCAAATGGCGCAGGCGTAGCACCCCTGATCTTGTAAAAAAGGTATTTTTATAATTTATAACTTATATTACTTGAAAACAAACTAAATTTCTAACCTACTTTCTTTCAAATTTAATTTTCTACCTAAAAAATCAGACTAGAAAAAAAAATTTCAGGTTATTTGATGAGTGTCACTTTGGGTACCTTCCTCGCATTAGGAAATAAAAAAATTTTTTATGAACTTAAACATTAAAAAGAAGCATACACTAACACATAATTAAAATGTTAGTTTTTTTAAAGTTCGTAAAAATAAAAATAATTAAACTGCATTCGACAAGATGAAATTCAACTATTTAATTACTTTTAATTTTACTATGGAAAAGGTATTACTTTTAATTATATAAACTCTTATTTGAAGAATAACGCAAAGCACGAAGTAATAATAATCTTTTGCTACAATGTAAAATAATTTGTAAAATTTATCTTTTTAGGAAAATGTAGGAGTATTACTATACAGGCATTTTACCTGAGTGTCACTGTCCTTTTCTTTTTCATTTTCATTGTCTTTCTTAAGTTCTTCTTTACTTCCATTTTCTTCAATACTAAAAATAAATGGAAATTTAAAATTAAAGTTTAAAAGAAAATTTAATAATATTCATCCACTAAGATAATTTTTCTTTTATAGCAAAAGTTATACATTATCAGTCCCAAACCAAAGCAATCAATGTAATTGAAACAAAAAAAATAAAAGGACAAAACTAATCAACTTCATAACTATAACTACATCAAAACGGGAAAATAAAATAATATATGACTTCATTAAAAGAAATTTAGTCCTTGGATGTCAACTGCTTAACACTCTAGCTGGCTATTATTGACTGTATAGGTCAATAATTCTTAAATAATTCTTTCTATGAGAAACATTTCTATCCATCTCAAAATTTTGATTGCACTAAGTGTACAAGAGATTACCACGCTTACCAATGCCCCGAGAGTCAATCATACGCAATCTCATCAAGCCCATATTCACCACTGACCCTAACCCTCAGTCACAGTTCAAAACAGGTTTTATGAGTGCAACTCCAGGTTAGATTCCAAAATTTCATTTCACCGTGTACATAGCTGCAACCCAGAGTTAACTAACTTTAACCTGAAGATATTCCTGGTTTGAGTAACCGCGGTTGAGCAGTAGGCAATTTTTTATTTATTTATGTTTTTAAAAATAACACTTTTGATAACTTTTATTTATTTTTTTAAAGGAAAAGAAACAATCGATGCTTGAAAAAATATAAAATTTAAAAAAGAAGAATACAATCCATAAAATGATTATAGATTTTGATAATATCTTTCAAGATGATAGATCTTACCCAGAAAAAAAAAATAGTTTAGAGATGAACAGGCAAAATAATGTGCAATATTTAGATATGAAGATAACGAATAGCATTTTAATTAATTTTTTTTTATCCATAAAATAAAATTATTAATAAGAACATATATATTATTTTAAATATATGTTAAAAATTACGCTGAAATAAATATTATGTAATCAATACAAATTTTGATCTGAGGTAACATTTAAACTACACAATAATCTGCATCAAATAACTTTTAATAACAGGAAACTTAGAATTTTATAACCATAAAATAATCTGCTGAACATTTGGAAAAAATAGGATCATTTGGAAAAGATTAATTGCTTAACCCACTGACGGTTCTGCACGTAAAAAGTCACATTTTAACCTGCAGTCTTCTCTGCATAGCAAAACCGGTTTTCCCATGTTAATGGATAGGGGAACTGTGTGTAGGGGAGAAACATTCTCCCAATTTTACCCATTTCCTTAACCGCCAGTGGGTTAAAACTAGTTAAAATACCCGTCTTTAGTTGTCTTTTTTAATATATGGCCTGGCTACTTTATGTCATCTGTGGCTTATATAAAACTGATATATTTCCAATTACAATTATTTAAATAATTAAATTTTTGATTTTCTTTTTAAATTTTAAAAGTTTTTGAATATTTGTTCTGATTATGACATACGCCTTTAAAAAAAAAAAATTTTCTTATTCACCATATCCCCGAAGGGGATTCTCTCTATCATCAGCAGATGGCAGTACAATAATTGTCATTTATAATTTCTGAATAATAGGAATGAGTTGATTTATGCTTATCTGAGTTGAGAAGTTTATTTTCTACAATTTCATTTGAAGTTTTTAAGAAAAGAAAATTCTTCTTAATGGTTTAAGTTATCGATATGTTATGAAGGGAATAAAAAGATTAAAAATTCGAATAAGGATGAGAATGGTAAATAAAATTTTTTATCAAAAGATATTTAATTTACTCATTCATTTATATTATTTATTTATTTTTAGAGTAAAAAAATAGATTATGTATTATTGGTATACATTTAGTTTCAGCTATATTTCTTATACCATTGACCATTTTAGAAGTTAGCAATCCAACTGATTTAAAACTGTTGAATACTAGCGGTTGACTAAATAGATTTCACTGTATTTAAGGCTTAAAATGAAAGATTTACCCCTCTTTTTCAAGGGCTCGGACATGTTTAGTTAAAGCTTTGACATCTTGTTTAGCTTCTCTAAGAATTTCATATGGTGATTTAACAGATTCTTCAAAATGATAGTCCCTGTTTAACATAGGAGAGCTGCTCATTCTGCTTTGAGATTGATTTCGTTGGACTTGCTTACGAAGCTGTGAGCACATCTCTTCAGCTGCAACAAGCTGTACTCTGAAATTATGCAAAAAATATCTTAATTTTAAAAAAGGAAACAAATATAAATGAACAATAGAAGAAGAAACAATCGAAGATAGAATGAACAATAGAAGATATAAAAGTAATTGCCAAAATTTAATCTATAATATAAAGTTTAAATAAAAAAAACAATATCTGCACATAATTTATAAATTATTATTTTAGACTTTTTAAACTTTGATCATCAAAAACTTACTCACACTTTTTAACAAAACCATGTTATGGTTAGAGTTACTTAGTACCTCTGTTATATTTATAATTTAGATAAATTTAAATAGACACATATTAAAATATTTTGGAAATGCTCCATTTCAACAATAAAAACTTTTTGCGAAAAGTTTATTAGCTGACCAAAATTTCTTCGAAAATGACATCAATAGTAAAAACCACAATAGTCAAACCTGCCTACTGAAGCAATAAGGAAAATACATGTAAAAGAACTAGAATGATAACTTTTATATATCTTTCACAAAACTGAAGCAACTAACTTCACTAACTAACAAAACATGCACTCATGCAGTACAATGAGCATTATTATTGAAATTGGGGGAAAAAATAGCTATGCATATGTAGAAAAAACACATTTGTCTTAATTTTAATTAAGAGTATAATTCCCATAAAGGAGGTTCAGGTATTAAAGTACTGCTTTGAATGCAGGTTCAGGATTTATAGTTTTTTTTTTTTTTATGCATAATAAAATAAACAGTAGAAACCTATAGTTATCTTTGACTGAGTTAGTCAGTCACAAATGGTTATTACATGACACAATTTTCAATAATTGTAAAAGAGTTTTGTTAAAAAATCAAAATTAATTATTCAAATTAAATAGTAAGAAAACTGTTCAAATTTTCAAACATTCAACTTTGAAGCAATTAAGAAGGTTGTCAATATAAATAAATTACCTCAGTTCTTCAATTTCCTTCATATAACCTTGTATAAGTTCTGTTAAATCAGGCTGTTGTTTATTTTCTCCTGCATGCACAATTTAATTAAAAATATTGCATTATAAAGCAGTTAAAATTAGTGAGTTACATTAGAGTAATAACAGGCAAAAACTGATTAGTAAAATACTAAGATAATACAAAAAGTAAAAAGCAATCAATATTATTTTTCAAGCAATCCATCAGTATTTTTTTAACTGAAAGCATACTGTAAATAGTATTAAATATAAAGATTTTTTTTTTTTAAATGCAGGTGCAAGTTAAGATTATTTATAACACAGTTTCATACAAGTACATCCTCATAATCATTATCTACTAAGACATAATTAAATTATAAAATTACATTATGTAAGCTTAAATAAATTGAAAAACACCTTTATAAAATTAAATTTCTGTGCTTATTTAACGCTTTTAATTACTGTTAAAACAATGTCAAAAAGATAATGGATAATATTGTCAAGGTTTAAAAGAAAATTAAATATATTTATAAAGTAAAGTAATAAATATATTTATAAAGTAAAGTAATTAATATATTTATATAAGTAAAAAATATTTATAAAGTACACATTTTCAAAATGAAAATATAATCTAGTTTATTTATATTAATTGAAAATGTGAAAAAAAAAATCCTGGTCTCTCTGAAATAAGAATCAATACACATGTTGCAGATAAATATACAAAAATAAAATCAAAGGTTTATTTTAAAGTTGAAAAGAAAAGCATGGAAATGATTAATTTATAATTTTTAGATATTACATTTATAATTTTTAGATCTCTTTTATCATTAATAGAGAGTGACTCGTTTTTATAAAAAAAAATTATAGTGGATCTTATATTTATGGATATGTTTAAAGGATTAAGGTTTTAAATTTTCTGATTAAAAAACTGCCTCATAAGAAAAATATTTTTTTAAGGTTCTGTAGGGCAAGAAATGAGAATTTAGATGATATGTTTAAAAAAAATTGCTCAGTGGCAATGAGCACATTCATGCTAAGAATAGGAATACTTTGAAAATTGGGCTATATATGATATTTCAAAAAGCACATAACTAAATGAAAAATTATTGTTATAATATTTATATGATGTCTGGATTGTTATGAACTGATAGTGATAAAATATAACTGTGACTGTGAGTAAACTTTCAGTCGAGTTTACTCTTGTTTACAGTTACTGTTTACTGAGTTTACTAAAATAAATTATAGAAACTTATAAATTTTGACAACAAATAAAACAAAATATTTGGAATTGGTCTTAATTTTATAGCTGAATCATTTATGTAAAAATATACAGAGCACATAGTAACTATTTTAAAGAAAAAAAATATGTATGTTAATTGTTGTACACAAAATCAAAGACATTTGATTTGTTTTTATTTTTCCAAATTTGAAAAATGCTGTATCAGAAAAATGCAATGTATTTATTGTTTTGGATTAAATTGCTAAAAAAAAACAATACTTCTTTTTATGTACCATAGTTTTTTATAACAAGAATTTCTTGGTTTCTACTTTTAATTTGGTAACAAAATATGACTTTTAATTGAAATATAATTCATTATGGTTACTTTATTTCGCACAATTTTTACACCTTTACAATTAAAATAATTTTTTCATCAAAACTCAACTTTAAATTCATTATAAAATTATAGAGAACAGGCAACTTAGTGTTCGGAACTTTTGTTTAGCTTGGAGCTAAATCACTTATAGAATTGTAATTTAAGAATATGTTATATAAAATGCTCTATGCTTGTTATAAAATTAAAAATTAATAAATAAAAGTGTTAGTAGTTAGGATCAAAATCATAATACTTACTTTACAAACATTAGAAATTATATGGAACAAATTAGAAAATTTTCATTAAAATTATTAAACAAACTATAAAACATTGAAAGATATCCAATGAATTGCTTGTTATTTCAAAATTAGTTTATTATTTTAAAATTTGAAAACAAACAAAATGTGGAGATGCAAGGAATAAATGGATAACAATCATAAAAAAAAAAAATGCTGTATAATCATGCTGCATGCATGTAAACCTCAAAATTTTGAATCTCAGACAAAACTATATTATCCAGTTTCCCATAGAATAATCATTCATAGAATATTTGTCTGTGGGTAAAGCTTCAGACAGATGCTAAATACATGAAAAGGGAAATCCAGAATAATATGTTCGTTTAAAATTTTCACAGTTTCTAAAACTAATTAAGGGCCTCACAACTTCAAATGTCTTTCCGATTTATCTAAAAATTGAACAGGATGTCCATTATTACAATACCTAGCTTTGAACATAGTTTAGTTTTTTAATTATCTTGAAGATATTGGCAATATACTGAATAAAAATTCTTAATCAATCAATTAATTAATCAAATACAATAAATGTGAACACTATTTAAGCATACTCAAAACATAATTATGGATTGCTGGAAGAAATTATCTGAAATTTTTTTTAGTTTTTAGTTTTCTTTTCAATACTTTTTTTTTTTTTCTTGTACATAGATTTTTAAGAGACTGCCATTTTTATCCACAAAAGTAACATTTACAAAATTTAAAGATAGAAATTTTTTTATTTTATCTAATAATAAGATTGAAACACAGATTTACGATGATATTGAGTGTGTTGAAAAGTGATTATTGAAATATGAGATTTCCATGTCATTATAAAATAATTCAAATTAATTTGATCTAATTGTAGCCAAATAAAAAAGGATCATATATATATAACATAGATTAAGTAATTTTTCTGTTGCAAATCGAAATTTTTCACAANCCCAAGGAAATGATTTTTAGAGAAACTTCAGAGGGAGGAATGAGGACTTTAATAATTTCGCTCCGCGGAAAATTTAATTCCTCATAAAATATTTTAACTTGAGCAAAAAAAAAATTTCAGCGGAAATTAGAGGGAAAAATGGAAAAATCTGAGAAAAAGCGGAAATCCGCGAATCCGCGGAAGAATCTCATCCCTGATATTTCCTAGCGAAAAATCTTTTAAATGTTTACCTTTTAGGAATAACTTTTAAGACAATTTTATACTTCTGCATTTGCCTTAGCAGTTTTATTAATTCTAGCTAAAGTTATTAAATAATATTTTTTTTCTCCAAGTTAATCCGAAATCACATTTTTCTCTAACAAACGTGCGAAGAAGAAAAATCGTTATTGAGCATAAATGAGAACTGTTACTATGAACTAAGTAACAAAAATTAAATTTTAAATTAGTAGAGCTCCAAGAAAATTTTGTCAAAATATAAAGAATTGATTCCCAGAATTCTGCGAAACAACGGTTTTGAGATTTGCGGAACTTCGCAAATTAGCAGAAGAATCACATGCCTGCAATTACTTTAAAATATAATAACACGCACAGATAAATTAAGGCGAATCAAAATAAAATTTGTAAAGTTATAGTTATGTTGTATCAAAAAATATCATTTAAAGGTTCAAAATCTTACTCAATGTAAAATTTAACAATTCATTCAATAAGTGTCGTATATTTCAGTTTTTACATAATATAAAACTTAAACAAGTATTGAAAAGTCTTCTTAAACATGACACCTCGCTAGAGGAGGGGCGCAGAAGCTTCTCCCAGGTATTGTAAACCATAGCTATGCCTCTGAAAACAACATGGGTGGAAGCATGTTTATAGATGGAAGGAAGCCATGGATTTAAAATTCTGAAGGAGCCATAACTTTCAATCGGAGTGTTATTTCAATCTAAAACTCATTTTGTATACCTGAAGTTATCCATGCACCAGCAGCTTTTTCAGCCAAGAGTTCAGTAACCCTTTGAGTTTGCCTGTCCAATGTGTCTTGGAGAGCCTTTAATCGAGACCGGAGATTATTGTTCTCAGACTCTAGGAACATATTTTCGTGAAACATGTCATTGATCTGTTCTTCCCCATCGTCGCCAATTTTTCTCTTGCCCTATGACAGAAATAATTTTACTTCAGTAAAAGTAACAGAAATAAATATAATTTGGAAATCACTATCTTGAAATTAAAATAACACCGAAAATACAGAACAAATATTTCAATTCAAAAAAATTATTCAAAGCTGGAAAAGAATACAAATTCCAAGAAAAATAAATTTTATAAAAAGCATTTTTCTTATATTTACTTGTTTATAGTCCATCAATTCAAGCTGCAGTTGTTGAATTTCTCTTCTTAGCAGTGATATAGTTTGACTGCTCTTATCTTGATTTATGGATATTTTATTTCTTATATTTTTAGCTCGATTAGCATATTTTAAAGTATTTAAAGTTTCCATGAAGTCCCTGTCTGACGGGGACACGCAAGCAATCATCAGTGTTTGACTAGAAAGAGAAGGAGTTTAAAATCATTTCCATGTTTACATAAAATAAAGTTGAATATAAAACTACCTAATCACAAATGATAAGTACCTATTACCACCCAAAGAATCTTGTAATAGCCTGGTAAGTTTTGAATCTCTGTAAGGCACGTGAGTAGCTTTTTTAGTTTTATCACCCAAAGCTGATATTACGTTTCCAAGAGCCAACTAAATAAAACATTTTGATTAATATAAATTTATGAATTAATAAATAAAATTTTCACACTCAGAAATAATTAAGGAAGAATTAAAATTTACATTAGCAGATAGACAGAGAAAAGTAACCAACAACATGCTTCAGACTTAAGATGTCTATACTTTTGAAACTGCACTATTAATATAAATGCTATGCATAAAGAATTTATTTATTTTGAAAGCTTGCCTTTTTTGGTAAAAACACATTTTGTTGTTAATTTTGTTTCCCATTTTCAAGAAATTTTGTGAAAACAATCAACAATAAAATGATTCTTTATTAATAAGGTATCACAAGAAGCATTTTCATTTTAAATACAAAACACTTTGATTTTAGATTTAATATCAGGGGTCTGTCCAGGTCGAATTTACTACCGTTTAGCGGTACCTTCACAAATTCAATTTTAGGTAAGACGGTAGTTTCACAAATTCAACTTTAGGAAAAACGGCAGTTTCACAAAATACTTTTTATTAAAATTTTATTTTTGCATCCCTTAAGAAACAATAAATCTATATTTTTACCATGTTTTTGTGTTGACTTTTTAATATAACTTTTAATTTTTCACAAATTATGTCAAAATTTTCACAAAATAGGTACCTTTCAGAAAAACCTAGACAGACCCCTGAATATAAAAAAACATATATTTATCACTTAATCATGTAATAAATTTTCATATTTTCCCTTCAAATATTAGTATGAAAATTGACAAAAAACTAAAAGACTGGTAAACCAATATTATGACTTAAATTCAAAGTTGAAAAAGAAATAGCTTATATAACATTCAAGGTATCAAATTATACTTGAAGAAAAACTAACCTTTTAGCATTACCAAGGTTATAACAATCTGTTTACATCATTTACTAATAGCTTTAAAAAATAATGATTTTTGTTGCTAAATTTTTTTAATCTTTAGGCATTAAAACTTACCTATGTAGAATGCATTCAATTAGAACATAACATTTTCACCAAAAAGTGCCAAATATAAATGAAAATTAATAGCTCATAATTAATTTGCTTACAGGAAGCAGCAATTTTTATAGGATTTTTCGACAAATAAAGAGTATAATTACAAATATTATAAGGACATAGGCTAAAATAACCATCCATATCAGCATCTTCCATAATAAAAATGCAGCAATGTGATTCAGTAACTCTGAGTTCAGAAAAGTACAAACACAGAAACATGCAAAATATAGCTTAAAATAAAATTTTAAACTGTAAGAAATTTTAAACCGTCTTAAATATTATGCCAAAATACAGAATGCATAAAACAATAAAAAGACATTTGTGGAAGAAAAAAAAAGTTTAAATATTTAAATTTGTAAAAATAACAAAACATTTAATAGAGAGGAACTGTATGAATAAAATACATATAGCAATGAAAATTTCTGTATATTTCAAATATATGAATATTTTTAATGCCTCAAAAGCTGTATAAAAAAATTTAAATATAGACTAGCAAGTAAAAGAAGCTGAAATATGAAAAGGGATTAAAAAAAAGTAGCAAATACCAATAAGTTATTGTGTTTTGTTTTTAAATTTGATGCTTAAAAGACTTAACGTATTACAAACTCAAGAGAGGCAGTATTTTTGCAAGAGATCATATAAGAACACATCTGAATATTATTAAATATCTAAAGTTTCATCATCTTTTCTCATCTTCTTGTGTTCTCATCTTTCTGAATTTTTAGTAACTTATATTTACAGAACAAACATTCATATAAAATCTCAGTATGAATGTTCCCTACATAAATCGACAATTCTAAACAAAATTACACCAAATTTAGAGTATATTCTTTTGAAAATCATCGTTGTCTACTTTAGAACTCTTTCTGATAACGGAGTAATATAAGTTTTCTACAAGATTAAGTGAATATTTTCGTATCAATATTTTGCTAAATTGTAGCTCTTTTTCATTAAAAATAAGTCAAAGTGTTTATAGCATGTTTTCATTAATTATTTATCTTTAGTTGCCTATTCTAAGTTCATCAGTAGTAAAATCAACTTAGATAACTTTGAGATGCATAAAAACCACATCACTGAATTAGCATTAAGAAACATGAAAGTAAGTCACTTACTCTTTTAAAACATTAAAGTTCAAAATTTTGATTAACCAGAATAGAATAATACTATGCGTATATTTAACTTCTCCTTTGTTGAATTGAACATCTAAAACCATTTTAAATAAATATAATCATGTAAAGCAAACAGGAAAAAATTATGCAGTATTTGCTTACTTAGCAAAATTAATAAAATAACAGGGTGCATAGCCAAATCTTTGAATCAAAAATAAGCACTTTTTAAAAACTTTTCAAGCACTCAAAAAATTCATATTGAATCAATGATATTATTGAAAAACAAAAACTTTTTATGAACAGTTTTAGCATTTAAAAAAANCAAAAGGGAAGGACGTAAATCGAAACAATCAGTACTTTCCCACATCACCGAGTGAATTCAACTTGACTCTGAACAAAAGTACCCTTACCCCCTTCATCAAAAAAGTGTTAGAAGTAAAATAAAATAAACAAGAATAAAATTATAAATTAAAAAGAAAAACATTTAATAAGGATCTGACTCTATCCGAATTGGAGCAGTCGGGTTTCAGTTTCGAGTGTGCGCGCATGCGCAAGTCATAACGTGGGTATGGCATGAAGTCCGGGTGAATGATTACGTAGCAAACGCCCCATTTTTCGTGAAATGCAAGGGATCCGCCAGATATCACTGAAGGGGGAAAAAATATTCGTGAAAAAAAAGCACTTTTTAAAAACGCCGGCTGAAAAAAGCACCTTTAAAAGCTTTTAAAAACAAAATCTCCCAAAAAGCATCTTTAAGTACTTTTTACAAACGCTACACACCCTGAATAATGAAGTACTCATGTAAGAGAATTTCATACTGCTAATGCTGCATGCACTTAATCATAAAAAAGTTTTGTTTATCTAAAAAGTGTGGGGTAAAGCTGCTCATTATAAACAACAATAATGTAATGTTTTCAATAAATATTGATTAAATGAATTGTGAAAAAATACAAAGAAACTTTGGCCACAATTTAGACAGCATGATGGTCACAAGCTTATTCAAAAGTAGCTAGTATCAACTTTCTTGTCGGTAGGAGCCCATTTCAAAGTGTAAAATAAAATAAAAAATTTAAAAATAAAAATAAAAATTAGAGCACATTTTGAATTATAAATATTCAGTTTGCTTACTTATTGAGATTCTAATGTTACTAATTAAAGTTGTACTTTTTTTCTCAAAAAACTTTTAACCAAAAATATTAAAAAATGGAGGGGAAAAAATGATTTTTGTTTCAACTGAAACTACACTAATTATGAGTTTCTTCTACTAAAGTAAAACAACTCAAAACTCGAAAATTAGTAGCAAAACATGCAGTCAAGTATTAAAGAAATGCAATATAAGCTGATTTATATTAGCTAATATTTTTATTTAAATAATTCAAAATAAATTATTTAATGGGAAGAAAACACTGATACGCATTGAAATAAATATTTTTAAAAACATTTTTACAAGCCAACATTTGAACAATTAACATAAGCCTAACACACGACATAATTAGCATAACAAGAATAAAACTTTAAAATAATAAAACAAAAAACTTACCAAGCCACAATTAATAGAGATGCCTTCTCTAGCTCTTTCGCCGGTGGCTCCTGTACGTTTCAAACGTTCTGATCCTGCCAGATCAACAAAGTGAAGCTTCGAATAAAGGGTATCAAACTCTTCACCTGCCTCCTCATTTTCAGATGACTAAAAATATTGGAACATTAAAATTTCACTGTCTAAGGGCAGATAAAGTGATTGTGTAAAATAAACAACATAATTTTGTTCTTTAAAAGACAAAGAAATAAATTAAAATCGCTTTAGATAAATTACGAAAAATAAAGTTAATGTGAATAGCAAATATCAAAACTTATAATAGATTTAACATTAATATTTTATAATATATTTCTCTCATTTTAAAAGTTTCAGTTTGAATTTAGTGATAAATTGAAAGTCAACATGAAATTGAAGGTGCAACAAAATTAAATTTTACCATCTGAAATAAATCAACTGAAGTCACAGTTCTAGATATTGGTCACCAGAAATGAGTAATCTTTTCAAATAAATTATATTTCTTTTAGCAGCAAAGAATATTAGATAATTTTGTGAACAAAGATTTACCAATCGAAACAGCTATTATAAATATGTTTATTGTTATTTATGCTACACTAAGGATGCATTGCTGGAGGCCTATGGGGCCAAATATCGTTGAATAGTCAATGCATGATTCCTTGCCCTTCAATTCAACAATCAAAAATCAATTGCAAAAAAAAAAAAAAAAAACTACTTAGTTTATAAGAAATTTTCTAACTGTTTTCAAAGTCTATTTCAATTAACACCTTTCTTTGTTTTCCTTATGATAAAGAATTCGCAGCACAGAAGATCAAAATAAAATAACATTAAAAAGCAAGTTATTTAAAAACTCCAAAAGTATATCAATCTGACAATAAAAAAAATATATATATATATAAATAAAACTAGGAACAGAATTGAGTAGATTTTTAAATGAAAACATCTAATTTAAAATGAAACAAATCATATCAGCCGATGTTCTTTTCAAACACCATTAATATTTAGTTCTTAGTATTAGTTTATTTTTCCCACCAAAGTTACAGATCACTAGACTAAAAATACATTTTGAAAAATTAAAAAAGCTTATTTACTTTGACCGTTAAAGTTGCATCAAGAAAATAGATAAACAGACGTTCACAAATGGGAATTTGCATGGCATTACTATTTTTATTAAAAAAAACTTTAGTACTAAATGATTTATTAATATAAAGAGAAAGGTCATTAAAAACAAAAAAGTTTACCTCAAACTGCACAACTCTTTGTTGCTTAATGTGCAAGGTAAATATAGCATGTGATCTAGAAGACTGGACATTCATCTTAGTGCTGGCAGTAGTACGGGATAATGCCCCTATTTTGAGGCACTGTAAAGTCTAAAAAAAAATAATAAAGTAAATAAAAATTCACATTTGTAAAATGAAATGGTCTTGAAATGAAGTTCAAAGAAAGAAAGAAATTGAAATATATAAAAATTACATAGAACACTTTAACCGATTAAAAAAAAAAGGTTAAAATTTTTTTACCTTCCCTCAAACAGAAAGCCCAGTATAAATTTGCTTGGTGAAACATTGTTTAAAAGAAAAGAACATTTAAATCAACCAATTAATATAGAAAGAAAAAAGAAATGTAATACTTTATTCGATGTATTATATAGAGAAATCAACCTTTTTTTGTTTGCCAGGAAAATTAAAATTAAACAAAATATCTGAGAAAATAAAATCAGTTCATTATAATCATTAAAAAAATAATTCAGATAAATAAAACCTACTTCGGTTCAAATAATTAAAGCTATTTTTCAAAGGCTCAGCAGTCTCATTAAAAAATGTTTTTCTAGCAAATAATGTGTTATTATCATTGCTGTTATGATTTAGTAACAGTTATACATGTATATTAGGTTAAGTTTTGTCAATCTTTAGTCAAAGTCCTCTGTGCCGATTCTAAAAATGCTTTTAATTTGAAGAAAAATCCGAATTTTTTAAAATGAAAAGCATTTGTGAACTCTATTTTTTTTAAATATTTAAAAAGTTACTTCAATAGTGTATTTTCTAGACTCATAAAAATTTGCAAAAATCGAAAATTATTCATTGATTTTCATCCTTGGTGGATAATGATGATTTTTAAAAATGTTCACTTTGCATCAAGCGTAGGGTGCTTAAAATATAGCTCTTTTTGGGTTTTTTATACGTAAAACAGCTTTGACAAACAATTTTATATGAAATTTCATAAGTTTTAATAATAATCTTAAATAATTGTATAAGTGAATTATCAAATATTAAGAGAGAAAAATGCTCACTTCACTGGCTGTAGAAACTGCTCGAGAAGTCAGACCAACAGTTATTATTTGCCCATCTGCATCCTCATGTATTTTAACTCCAGATTTTTTGTTCTAATTAAAAACAAGTAAAGAAAATAAAAAATACAGATCTAACATTTTATTTATATTAAGTTTAAAAATCACATTACAATATGAGCATTCTGAATGCAGAAAATAAACAAATAGAAATTTATAGATTTAGGGCACTATTTCTATTAGGCCAAGAGGAATAGGAGCAGATAAAATTAAGTGTAAAACAATGTTTGATGTTTGGAAAATCAATGTTTAATACTAAATTCGGGATATTGGAATTTTAAATCTCGCAAATAGGAATCGCAATGTACTATATTTAAATTGTGCGAATAAGAATTGCAGTGCACAACTTTTAAATCAGGTAAATATGAAGATCGATGTTTGATATTAAAATCACGTGAATAAGAATCGAGATGTTAGCAGATTCTGGACTTGGGATTTCTAAAAGACTTGTTTGTATTGTTTTTGTTTAACCAGAATAATAAAAATTTACAAGATTAATTAAATGAGCAAATAAATATTTTATTGGCAAGTCCACCGCTGTTTTTTTTTCTTTCATTATTACTTCGTCTACTTTTGCGCCAGCAAACAAGAAGCAGCAACGTCCGAATTACGAAAATACAACTAGTGGGAGGGTAAAAATACGGAAAATCTATTTTTCTGAGAGTTAAAGGGGAGAAAATAGCTGAAATAAGTAAAAATGTGGAATGGTTGGCAGCTACGTAGTATGAATTTTCTGTTCATCTTTGCAAATTGGAAATAAAGATAATTTTACTCCAATGACTGAATTTTCAGAAAAAGCGGAATATTTAAAAGAAAACCAAAACTTTTAGAGAATCGGAGTTTTTGATAAAAAGGCTGAAATTCAAGAGAAAAAACAAAAAAAAGTGAAATCCACTACTAAGCGAAAAAATCTCATCCCTGTAACAACTTAATTTACAATTTTCAATACATACATGAATCCAGATATAAAATTAGAGAATAATGCCTCTATTCCAATAATTTTATAATCAACTTTAAAAAATATAAAAATTTCATCTCGAGCATTTTTTTTTTACAGTTCAACATTTTTTTGTAACTTCAAATATGCTGTTAAAACTCTTCCTCATGGCAGGATTGAATAGTTCATCATGCAATAAGTTCAAAATGCGTAATTACCTTTTTAGAGGATATAAAACTCGGAAAAACTCTCCCTAATAGAAATTGAATACTTTTTATTAACCTTCTTTCCTGCCATATCTAATGGTCAAAATTACACACTATACTCTTGTAAACCTTACTACAGGAAGACAAGAACTAATAATCAGTTCATGTCATTATATTCATGATCGATCGATAAATATGTCCTCTTTCAGGAATAATTCTCACAGCTGAGAACAATGTAAACTGCTTAGGCATCAATCTCGCTGCATCTACTTACTCCTGCGTATGAAAATAAAATCAGATTTAAATAGGTTTTATCTGTGATCTATGCCTTTTTCGTAATTCGCATGTGAAATGACACAAATTATTTTTAGTGTCTCCTAAAACAAAATAGTAGGGTTCTTCATATCTTATATAGTAGCATAGCTATCTTTCAAGATTTTCACCTAGAAAGGATAAATGTCAGACTTTGTAAAAATGTAAAAGGAAAATCCCGAATTACAGTAACAATTGCCAGATTTCACAAAAACGTGCCCATATTCCAGAGAAACTATGGGAGTTCCATAGATGTTGGCACTTTTGGAAGGAGGTTAAATAATTTAAAGAAGGCTCATATTGAAAAGTCTTTCAAAAACAGCTTTTTCAGAGAATATAATATTTACATTTTAATGAAAAAAAACTTGGCTAGAACACAAAATATTTTACAAAAGGTCTATTATACAATTTAAACTGCAAAATAATACTGGCAGAAGAAGTTAAAACAATAAAAGCTTTACTGATATAAATAACTTTATACAATCCAAGTTAATGTTTTGTTCAAAAACATCATGTGAAAATAAATGGAAGAAATTGAAAATAAGATTTTGCTTACTTTATCTTCTCTATCTTGAACTGGATCAAGTAGATCAATTAACTCTTCATTGTAGAGCTAATAAAAAAAATTTTATCATTAGAAAAAATTCTATGTAAATAAAGCGTAATGCAAAAAACTCTTGCTAAACATAAAAATTAATCATTCAAATTCTTCCACTAGATGTGAACCCAATCCCACCTTAATAAATAAAAATCCATTTTAACTCAGGTTAATTTGCTACTAGATAAAACATTTCTTGCTATGAGCATAAGTTAATTAACAAAATTCAGATTTATGATTTAAAAGCTTTAACACTGAATTTGCCATAAAAATTAAACTATGCAAAGTATTTACAAAGAATATGTATATATTTGAATTAAAAAAAAATACTTAGAATTGTCCTTAAAAAATTAAATAGAAGCTTTCCCTACTAAAATTTTTTTACTACATTTAAATTACTTCGATAATTTTTTAATTATATTTGAACCACAGTTGTTTTAGTGAAAGAATGTTTTCTTGAAACAAAAATAAATTTTTTTTTTGGATGCCATGTATTAGAACCTCAACAATTTGGAATTTTAATATTATTGTCTAAGGTTTTTTTTTTTAAAGTTTTTAAAATTTGTTACAAAATACTTATTTATTTCTTATGCTATAAATATAGGTGTCTCAAATAAATTTTCGATGGCAAGGCTATCAGTTGCACTTATTATTGAAGGACAGCATTTAAATTAGCCTTGCAAGAACAATATCTAAACAGGTTGCTCATCCCTACCTTACATGGTAAGAAAATTCCTCCGTCTTTAATAAATTTTGTATTTTTTAGAAAATATTATCAGATTTTAAATCATTAATTTATACATGAAGTACTGGATAGTTTGAAATTAGAAAAAAAAACTGGCATAAAAATTAATTCACAAAAATATGAAGGAAACAATACTACCTCCATAAACTGTGCTGTAACTTTAAATTCTGGAGGAGTAATTTTTTTGTTTTGAGCATCATTTTGTAACTTGGCTATACCACTAAATAACTGATTAACAGCTCTAGGTATTACGCCAGTTTCATCTTCAGAGGTAGAGACATCAAAACCTGTACCCATAGTATAGGTTTTTCCAGAGCCAGTCTGAAAAGGAAAAATAAAATAATTAATTCAGAAAATTAAAAATTACATAAAGGGAAAAATAAAACTGATTTGAAAAATTTCCTTGCAAGACTAACAAGGAGGGAAAAGATCCGTCAAAAAAAAAAAAAATATATTAAAATGTTATGTTCAAGTATATTAAGAACAACATTCAATAAGTAAAATTTTAACTAAACTGCTAACTATGCAAAATTTACCATGCAATTCATCAAAATGTAAGCACAGGCTTCATAATGGATCAACAAAATAAATCAGGACATTTTGCATGTATACATATAGTAAACTACTTTAAAAAAAGGAAAATTAAAAAGAGGATAATTTGTCCCACTTAAGTGTAATAAAGGCAAATTCTACTGCAAGAGAATAAAATATACTATTTTTTCTTAGAAAAAGAAATAATGTGAATAATCAGTTTTTAAAATAATTTATGCCTAGAATGAAATGTAATTAAGGACCATTTTAAGCATTTAAAATTTATTTAGAGTGCCATTCTGAACTTTTTTATTCAGTGAAATTTAGTTAGCAAATAACTAAGCTAAATATTAGCTTTATTTTTATCTCCCATAAAGCATTAATAAATTATTTTTATTTTTAAATTGCATAAAATAATAAATAAATTCAACAAAACATCCAAAGTTTGTCACAATTGCAAGTAACTTCTAAATTATTCACCCAGAATATTACACCTCTAAATATGATTACTATATTGTTCATTGGAATCAATCATTTTTAAAGTCAAATAAAAGAGACGAATGAATAATTATGAAACTACAAAAGATTTCAACCCTATAAAATTCGTTACTGCATTTGTTGAAAATACTACCCTTTAAATCCTAGCCATAATAATTTGATAAAATAAAATTGTTAATTGAGATAATTTTTCATAGAATGACTTAATTATCAAAAAGGTTTAAACAATGAATCTTGAGGTAAAGTATAGTAGACAGAGCCTAAATTTAAACAATTGAATTTTGTGATCTTTACTTAAAATGAAGTTTGATCGAAGATTCAAACCTTCCAATTCTACAATCTATTTTTCAAAAAATCCCCAATTGTATTTTGGAAAGGTGAAAGTTCTGTTCTGAACACATAAAAAAGCTAAAAATCAGGACGAATAAGGAAAAAATATTTTTATCCCAAAACCAAGAAAACTATAAACCCTTCAAGCAGTTAAAAATAATTAAAAATCTGAAGATATAATATATTGACATTTACCTGACCATATGCGAGAATAGTGGCATTATATCCTTGGAAACACCTGTAAAAGATAAATGTAGTTAAAAGATAAGTCTTTGTAACACAAACTTAAAATTATATATAAATTAAAAGAAATGATAAGTGATAAGTAATCAAAACCAAAAAGAATAAGTAAGACAAAATTAAGAAGAAAAAAAAATTCACTCTATTTTCGTAATGAACTAAAACTGGGTGCTCAGTAAACCAACTCAAAAGCTTTTTAGAACCTAAGAAAACAAAACATTGGTAAAACCTTATGCTCTCTCTAATGAAATATGAGTTTTGTTAAAGAAAACTTCACTACAATGTGGTATTGCAGATTTATTTATTTATTATTTTATTGTATGAAGAAAAATACTTGACCAAACTACGGTCTTAATATGCATCACATTACTTTCCACTTTCAAAATTTTTTTTATTTCATGAAATCTGAACTCTGAAATCTATACCCATTTTTTATATTATCATACAAATTCAAACTTTAATTCAAAACTATGAAAGTTTCACCCAAAAAAATCAATTTTGCAAGTCATTCAAGAAGTGTGAACGGATATTTTTACAGGGATAGATAATTATGCTGCCTATTGCAAAATTGAAATGCAATTTTCATTAGTTAGCACGAACCTCACAATTAAAAATTCAGGATTTACAAATAATGAAATTTGGTAGCAACAAAACTTTTTAACCACAATTTTTTTTCCTTTTTTTTAATTTAAACAAGCTACAAATGTTTGAGTATACATAGAAAAATAGATGTTCTAATTTTAAAAATAATACAACTAGAAGTAATAGAAATTTCTGCAAAGGAAAATAATTATTGACTTAAAAAATAATTTAGCGCACTTGTATAAAGCATATTCATTCTGTACATTGCGGAGAATAAAGCAAGGCCTTGCTATCAAACGTAATAGGACCACTACTAGCAGATTTAATAAAAAATATAAACTTTAATAAAACATTTTGACATTTGATTATCCTATTTTTATTTTCAGAAAAATCTCTTTTTATCAATAAGAGTTAAAAATAAAATGAAATAAATTTATATTTTAAGCAATATCTCCCTGCAAGTGTTCGTGATTTGCATGCAATGTAAGAGAATCATAGCAAATAAATTAGAGAAAAAAAATTTATAATTAAATTTCAGTAAAAAAAATTACACAGAATTGTATTTATAATATTAAATAATTAATGGTCAGACATGAATAAAATTTAAGAGCTCATGCATTTTCCATTTGTTCAAAAAAATACATAAATAATTAAAATAATGTGGAGAAGTTAGAGAATAATGAAAATTTATACTTTTAAAATATAAGTTACCCAAGATGTTATAGCTCATGGGTTTTTATTTACTTTTGGCTAGAAATACGCATGACAAAGTATATTTCTATCTGAGTAATTAAAAGCATATTGAAGAATATTAAAAGTAAAAAAACTTAAGGAAGCAAAATTTTAGCACAATCTATTTGCATACTTTATGTGTATTTTTTTTAAATTTCAGAATTAGCAAAAATTATCACTCTTATGTCATTGATATTCAAAAGTTAGTGCAGTTTTATTAAAAAATATGTGTACAGCAATACATGAGACAGAGCTTAGTATGAAGTTGTATACAAGTTCTAATTCAGCTTAGCAACTGTTCAAGTTTTGGGAAGTCGAAATGTCAAAGGAAAAAAAAAACAAAGATAAACATGTTTCAAATTCATAGCTTTCTGAGAAGAACAATCTATTATAAAACTGATTTTAATTACAAAAAAACAAAAAAATTTTAAATTTTAATCATGTAAATTTAATAATACGCATATCTTAAGCTGACATGAAAAATTAAGCAATCCTAAATGCAAATAAATAATTAAATAATAATAAGATCTGAATACAAACCCTTCAATCAAGTCTTGAATGCAGGTAAGATACACACTTTCTTGGGTAGTAGTCATATTGTAGACATGATCAAAAGTAAAGGCTTTATCGTTTCCCAACCACACTTGTGGCTCCCCTGGTGTCACAGATGTGCAAACATGGCACATATCAAAAACTTCACTTGATATCTGCGGACGGATTCTGGCAAAAATTAAGTACGTGTTAGAGTGGTTGTTTAAAAACTAAAAGTAAATATCTCCCTAAGTCTCATATTCTAAAATCCTAAACAACATTTTAAGTCTTCAACTTTATGTTATTGCATTTTGCTCGTTTAAATTTTGAAAGGTACTTAGAAGCAAGAATAGAAAGTATCAGGGGTCTGTCTAGGTTTTTCAGAGAGGTACCTATTTTGTGAAAATTTAGACATAATTTGTGAAAAATTAAAAATTATAGTAAAAAATCAACACAAAAATATGGCTTTATCGTTTCTGGAGGGATACAAAAATAAAATTTTAAGAAAAAGTATTTTGTGAAACTACCGTTTTTCCTAAAGTTGAATTTGTGAAGGTGCCGCTAAACGGTAGTAAATTCGGCCTGGACAGACCCCTGAGTATGATGCAAAAAAAACTATCAAAAATTAACTGCTTAACACTTCATTTCTATTAACTTTAGTGCTTTTTGGTCTGGCAGGTGCAATGCAAAATCTTTTTATTTATGATTTTTTTAATACCTATTTGCCTTACGCTTACAAACAAATAAATAAATACCTAATTGAATTAGCTTGCACTTGACCCGAACTATCAGAAAAGTACTAAAACTATTACATGGTATATTTTAGAGCAAATAAAAATTAGCTACAAGATAAAAATTAGACAAGCTGAATTTTGTTGGTGAATTTAACAAGTTTTTAGAAAGCTATAAGAGATTATGGCTTACATGTTATAGTGAAGTTGTGGTCCTCAATATAATATGACTCATTTTTCCTATTGGTAAGAGTTTTCTCTTCTCATTCTAATATATATATATATTCATGCATAATATATATGTGTATATGTATATAGATATATGAATAGTATATATATAATATGTGTATAGATATACATATATACAATGAAGCATCGTTCATACGACATTTTAGTGTGGTCCCAATTCATTCCTATTCATTTTAATGTAAAATATATAGTTTATACGACACTCAGAATCAGTCCTACGTCTGTGTTCTATTTTGTAAACGTTTATTTTATTTTTTCTTGTGTACTTTAAGAATGGACCGAATTTGCCAATATGAATGACACAAAAAAGAGAATGTGTAAATGTAGAATGTAATAACAAAACAAGTGTATGTGAAACGGATTACAACAAACTTACTTGAAAAACTCTATTTTGTTTACTTAGTATATATTTCTGATTTTTTGAAGGTTGATGTTAATATTTTAATGAATTATAGCAATTTTAATTTATGAATTAAATGAAATAAATAAATTTGCCTGCCCAACGATTAAAATAACAAATTTTAAAAAAGAAATTCTGAAACAGATAAACAGCATTTATTTAAATTTTTTTTAATCGTTGAATGGGTACATTTGGGGGCTTCCAGGAAAACAAGACTTGAAATATAGTAAAATATTATGAACAAATAATTGGGAAGAAAAGGGTTAATAGAAATAATCCGAATGTTTGCAACTCTACCTAGTAGTAAACACATATGGCACATAATATAAATACTATGTATTAAAATGTACATAATATACAGAAATATGGATTCTCAATGAGCGTAAGAAAACTATTTGTTTTCTTCTCAGTTAATGCTATTTAGTCAATGGTACAAAAACGTTTAATGGTTCATTTTCACATTTGATTGATTGGCAGTTAAATATACAAACGCGGACTGAAGAACATTATTTCGTTCATTAAAATTCAAGGGAAATTTAGTTTAGCATTTCGTTAGTCATTCATTAAAATAAAATAAAAAATATTAAGGTTAACATTGAAATAGAGAATCAACTAATTTTCGCTTTTTTTCGTAATCAAATGCACATATTTACGCAGATGTAAAGTAAATTTCAATTTATAATTAAGAAAAATATGATAAAAATATAATGAAAAATAAACACAAATGATTAATATTAATACAGTATATTTTAAGCAGAGGATATTATTTTTTTTTTCAAAATTATTTAAGAAATAGGAAAAAATTTTCTTACCTTACTGCTACTCGAACAGAAGACTCCATGTTTCGAATATATTTAAATATAATGTTCAAATACAAGCAAACATTACTAATAATTTAAAGATATATTTCAGAATCGAAATTTCAAACGACAAAATCTTGTTGGTTGACAATTGACAGACGTTGCCAGTTTTATTAATCAGAATAAAGAAAAGAAACAGTCTTAGCACCAGAGATTCTATTACACTAACCCTACAAATCTGTGGCGCGGCACAGATGTGACATCGGGGAGCGCCAAGGCTGTTCTCAGGCCGAGTTTTATTCCACTGGAAGCAGTTGTATATTTTAATCACGAATCTTTTGTTTGTATTTCTTTTAAATAACCCTTCATATGCCTCGTTTGTATGCTAAGGAATTTGATGACTAGTTTTTTTCCTCTTGTCTCCTTTTCGATGTCAAATGTTGCCGATTGTTATTGCTGACTAAAGCTTGTTATTCATATGTTTAAAATTTCCATTCAAAAAATTATGACAGTATTTATATTTAATAGTGTTTGCTTTGATAAATTGTTGTTGTTGTAGTTCATTTACGTCGCACTAGAGCTGCACAATAGGCTACTGGTGAAGGTCTGGGAAACATCCCTGAAGATGATCCGAAGACATGCCATCACAATTTCCATCCTCAGCAGAGGGGATGGCACCCTCCGCATCGGTAGCCCGACGACCTGCATACGAAGTCGAGCATTTTGCGATGGAACAGTTTAACGAGGTTCAATACCGCACACCTTTGGTCCTTTCGCAGACTAATCCATCCCACCCGCACACTCACCGCAGCCAGTGATGCTTGACTTCGGTGATTTGCTGGGAGCCGCGTCTTAACGATCAACCCACTGTGGAACTTGATAAATTGAAATCAAAAAAAAAAAAAAAAAAAAAAAAATACGTTTCAGAAGTTTAAAACATTAAGATTGCTTAACTTTATTTTTAAATTTATTTATATGATATTGCAAAGGTTGCATACAAACTTATTTGAGTTTGAAGTTGTGTTTTAATAAGATGAGATTTTTTTTATTTGTATTATGTTCAGTGAAATGTTTGTTATTTCAAATGAATGAAACAAAGTGGTATTTCCGGAGATTTATTTATTTTTTTATTGCTTCTATCAAATATATTTTTTCAAGTTTTTTCTTCTTTTTTGTCATGTATGTATTTGTAGATAATAATCTACTTAGGTGCTTGCATGATCTGCTATGAGGAAAAGATCACTGACTTAATATGGCTTCAACAGGGGTGTTTACAATATTTGAATCAACATTCTAATTTGGAGCCCTTCTCAGGTGAAATTTTGTTAACAAGAAGAATGAAATTAGGCCAAAACATTATGTAATTGATTTTACGCGTAGATAATCGGTAAGAAAGAATTGCCATTTTTTTTCTTCTTGAACAATGAATAATTTATTGACAATGATTGTTGAGCAAATTTTAATTAACTAAAACTAATTAACTGGAACTAAATTCTAAAATTTGCAGCATAGATTTTTTGTTTTAATTTATTTCAGTAGTCTTATGTTCATTGGAATGTTTCTTATCCCTGTTACTACATGCAGTTAAAGAGGGTTGCTTTATTAATTGTTTCGATTTGTATTTCTTTGTACTTCTCTTGCTTACTTTATATGCCATGATGAAAATATCACTGACTTAGTATAGTTCCAATTGGGGTGTTAATAATATTTTAATTAACGTTCTTATGCGGTGCCTGTCTCAGTTGAAGTTTGTTCAACAGCAGAGTGCCATTGGGCAAAAATTTGTGACTGGTTTTTCAGATAGATATTCGATAAGAAAGAATTACTATATTTTTTGTTCTTCTTCTTGCACCGTAAATAAAGTATAATCATTTGACTTTCTTTAAAGTATCCAGATTTCAATATTTAAGGCACGGGCTTTTTATTTTTATTTTATTTATTTCGGTATTGGGTTTAGTGGAATGCTTCTTATCCCAAACAGATGCTATTAGGCGCAAAGTTAAGGATTTCTTTTATTAATTATATTGTTTTAAATTGTATTTTTTGTTGTGTATATATACACATATATTAGGGGGGCCGAAGAGTAATGTCGTTTCGGTGCATTTGATATTTTATCAGGATTTTATTTTTAATCAATAATGTATTCACCCAGGGCCGTTTTATCCATTAGGCACTGTAGGCAACTGCCTAGGGGCCCCGCCACGTTCAGGGGCCCTGTGCTACAGAGAAAAAAATTGACAATGTTTCTTAAACAGTAAAAATTTAATTCGAAATTTCAATGACGATTGTCTTGCTCTGTACATTACATCGACGCTATTTTAGTACATTTCTGAACTCATTCCAAATTAGATAATAATATTATGGTAGTTAGTTCATATATAACGCAGTTATATAATCGCAAGCAATTTTATCGCGGTAATTTTAATGCCGACTAATCAGATGACTATACAGCAAGAGCAGCTTTTTTAACACAACATGCTTGAAAAACGAAACTTTTCCAAATTGAAATTAATTAAAAACTGTCTTCGTTCAACTATGTCTCAAAACCGTTTAAATTCATTGGCCATAATGGCAATTGAAAATGATGTATTGGAAAAGGTTAACTCTCAGGATGTCTTGAACGATTTTGTAACAAAAAAAGTTAGAAGAGTTAATATTTAAGCTTATTGTATGATTTTTTTTAAATGCATATATTAATTACTTATATTCTTTTCGTTTGATTCAATATTTTTATTGAATAATGTGATAATATACCTATGTAGTAAAAAACAGCGTAATTATGAATAAAGTGTTGTGTTAGCGAAAAAATATATTAGGAAGTTAGAAGACGGTAGGGGGGCCCGAGACGAGCATTGCCTAGGGGCCGCGACATGCATAAGCCGGCCCTGTATTCACCTCCCTTAGTAACAACCTTTCAATACCGGGTCGAAAGTGAACAGAGCCTGGCAAAGGCAGGGACATACGGGACAGTTGCCTCAGCCCCCACATCAGAGGGGCCTCAAATCAAATAGAAAATTTAGTTTACATTTCCTTCTTTAATGAATTTTTTTTAAACAAATTATCAGTACAATGTAAAATCCGTTAGTTTTACGTCAGCTTCTTCATTAATCTATCATATCAACACAATCTATTCGTAAATCCATGGCTTTCTAGGATGGAATTCAGCAAAATTTTCGCTATTACCATGGACAAACTTGGTGAATAAAAAGCCTGTATTTTCAGATATTGCAAAATGCGATATGTTTACAAAAATACAGGATTTTTATTGGCTTAATTGAGCCATCGTAATTTCGACATTTTAGCTTCCGCTCTAATATCGGCAAGGATATGAATTTTCCACAGTTAAATGACGAAGTTAGCAATCAGAAAACTGCATTCGGTATGATGGTTGTTGTTGTTATTCTTGTTAATTTACGTCGCACTAGAGCTGCACAACGGGCTATTGGCGACGGTCTGGGAAACATCCCGGAGGATGATCCGAAGACATGCCATCACAATTTTGATCCTCTGCGGAGGGGATGGCACCCCCGCTTCGGTAGCCCGACGACCTGCGCGCGAAGTCGAGCACTTTACGGTAGCACAGTTTAACGAGGACCAATACCGCACACCCTCGGTCCCTACGCAGACTGATCCAAGTGGTCACCCACCCGCACACTGACCGTAGCCAGTGATGCTTGACTTCGGTGATTTGCTGGGAACCGTGTCTTAACGATCAGTCCACTGCGGGACTCGGTATGATGGACATAGAGCTGTTAGAAAATCAATAAAATGGACAGAACGACATTTCGTCTGACATTGGAGAAGGGGGGGATTTTTTTTACTCCTGCTGTGTTACGTATAGTCTTCAAATAGATAAGAAAATGAAGGAAATTTTCAGTGGGGAAGAAGGATTGAGAGCATCTCACGTCAATCAACTAAGACGTAATTTCTACTTGAGGAGTCTCATAATCTGCGTTGTTCAAAAGATCAAAAAATACTGCTGTTCGAATTATATCACAAGAACAGTATCATTTTCTCTCCGTTCTTTGCAAAGATAAGGCAAGGTGACAGGAGAAAGATTGATTCCTTAATCATGAAATAGCTTAATAATATTTTTAGTTATGACTAAGGCAAAAAATTCATATGCTTTAAAAATGCTGAGAAGTTGCATAGTTTTTTTCCTTGCATTTAAAGCAGAATTTTTTTTTTCAAATTTAGGAAAAGTAGGGTCCAGTTTTAAGAAATAGAAAATAATGTTTCAGGGCAAAGATGACAGTCCGTGTCCGGTTACAGGAGTGTCCGCTTTGAGGAGAATGTATATAATGGCTTATTCATAGAGGATTCCCGTGGAATTAAAAATATGTCAGTATTGAGAGGTGCCAGTTTTGCAGGAATGTCCANCTCATAATCTGCGTTGTTCAAAAGATCAAAAAATACTGCTGTTCGAATTATATAACAAGAACAGTATCATTTTCTCTCCGTTCTTTGCATATAATCTTCTTATAAGGCAAGGTGACAGGAGAAAGATTGATTCCTTAATCATGAAATAGCTTAATAATATTTTTAGTTATGACTAAGGCAAAAAATTCATATGCTTTAAAAATGCTGAGAAGTTGCATAGTTTTTTTCCTTGCATTTAAAGCAGAATTTTTTTTTTCAAATTTGGGAAAAGTAGGGTCCAGTTTTAAGAAATAGAAAATAATGTTTCAGGGCAAAGATGACAGTCCGTGTCTGGTTACAGGAGTGTCCGCTTTGAGGAGAATGTATATAATGGCTTATTCATAGAGGATTCCCGGGGAATTAAAAATATGTCAGTATTGATAGTCCTACTGACCTCATCCCGGTTTAAATCTTATAAAATGTATATTTCTTTTTAATCAATATGCTTAAGTATGAAGTCTTAATAATTTTCTCATTCATGTTAAAATATAAAATTGATGACCTTTCCTAATTCATGGATGCCCAGCTTAACTACAACTATTAAACTTTCTAGGACCGAATTTTAAGAATAGCAAAGTACCTGTATGCTTCTTAATTTAAAAATGTTTTTTATTCTTGTCTTTATATTTACAGATTATAAGATTAATAATTTTATAATATTAAAAAAATTATAAAAAATATCTATTTTTAAACATTTTTTTAATACTAAAATGTGTAAAAAATATATATACTAAATTTTTTTTTAAAATTTACCGAACTGGAATAAATTTGTATATTCTTGACTTATCATTATTAGTAATACATATATTCAATAGGATAAAAAAGGAAACCAAAGATATTTATAGCCAGATGAAAAAGAATAGAGTATTTTATTATTTTTGAAGTATATTTTTTAATTTTGGTGTTTCTGATTTAAAACTTCCGCTATGGGACTTTAAATTACAAATGTATCTCGAAACTTATCCTGCATGATTTCCCTACTTATTAAATGGTCTCATTCATTTTAAAAATATTTTTTGAAGCAAAACAATGCGAGACAAAATAATTCTGATAAAATTGAAATCGAGGAGATAAAAAAGGCAAGAATGAAGGAAAGATACAATAGATATTTACATCAATGCGTATAGAGCAAAATTCTGTACCTCTGGTAACACTTCGCATGCTTTCACCAGTAGCGCGTGGAGAGTCATAGAAGAAGGAAGTACGTTAGATTCTGTCTTGATTTTCAAATAGAATAAAGTCTTTTAAGTTTGGAAACTATATGGAACTGACAGCTGCATTAATCATAGTTCTAAAAGAAAGCGTCATAGAAATTTCGAAAAATGTTTTTAACAATTAAATACGAGAAATATTAAGAAAAGGAAAAATATCGTAGTACATTTTTATACAACTGAAAAGAGGAGGAGAGGGAAGGGCCAAAGACATGGAGCCGCTCTTCTCCCCAGATGGCATATTCCAGCTTTGCGATCCCCTATAATATTGAAATTAAATAAATATTGTTAAAGAATCCTTTAAGATCTATCAATCGTAATAAAAGGAAAGAGAAGAATAATCATATTTATTTGGAGCCTTATATTTATGGGAAACACATTCCTCTCTTTTGCGAAGTACAATGTGCTGAATAAAATTTAACACCTCGTTCTACTAAAATGAAAAAAAATGGCGGTGTTTTTCGGACGGTGTGTAAATGTTGCTTGAGAATGTGTCCACGAATACCAGCAGCGTAAAACTCACATCCACTTTTAAAGACGCTGAAACCGTAGCCAAATCCCATACGCATGAATAACGATTAAGCGATAACGGTGCTGACGATGATTAAGTTGGCCAATAAGATTACTCTATTTAGTTATTAGTCTCGGCTGCTAAGCAACGATCCTTAAGCACTTGTGAAGTTTTTAATCTTAGATTTCAGAAATTTGGCAACATTTTCATGTTTAAAAAATCAATAGATCAACCAAAAATTGATTACAGTTATCATTTCATAAATGGGATCATGTGGCGGGAACACTAGACTCCACGCGGGAACATCACTTTTGTTTATTTACAAAGAGCATGCTTAAATAATGTTTTGAGGAAACAATGTAACACCATCAAACTGACAAATCATAAAAGTTTTATCTGTTAGAAAGAATGTTACTATTTATACTTCATATTTTTCGATAACGTGTGCTTTTGTTTTCATTTCTTTCATATTTAGGGTGTAAGGGACGGGATGTTATTGCGCAATATTTTGGGGGCGTTCCGTGGGCCAAATGGAAAAAAGTATAATCATTTGGGTCCTACGCAGTTTAGTCAGATATTTATTTTAAAAGAAACAATGACAACGTGCGTATACGAGGTACGAATTAAATTACCATATATTACTAATATCAATAGTTATTCTTGTATCTGAAATAGTTCAATTAAAATTTTACCGATCATTATTAGTTCAATTAATATTAAAATGCATTAATTAGTTAATTTCCTCCTTGAAGTCTGTTAAATATTTTTTTAAAACAAAACATTTTATAGATATGAATATTTTTATACTCTAAAATTTCTAAATTATGACTAAACCATTAATAAAGTTAATTAATTAGTTAGAAAATATAAATTAGTTAGTATTTTCTTATAGTATAAATATGTTTCTTATAATATAAAATCTCTCAGTATAATATGTGTTTCTTTAATTATGTTTTTAAAATTTTATCTTTTTGTACTGGCTTGTGCAATTTGTGCCATTAATTTTATCTGTTTAATTTTTATGTAAAATTGTATTTTCATCTAGCAATCTTTCTATGATCAATATAATAAATTTGCACTTTAATGGTTCGATGTGTAGGAAATCCATATTTTAAATCGTTAGTAACTCACATGGTATATTGCAAAATTTATGATAAATAAATTTAGCAGTTTTAATTATAAAAATAAGATGAGAAAAACTTAGCATTAAATTTAAAGATGACAATCAAGACTGTTTTTATAAGTTTAAATTTTCACACTGAAAAGAAGAGGTAAAAATATATGAATATATATATATATATTTTGTTAAAAATTTGAAATATAAAATTTTTTAAGCTATTTGAATTTAAACTTTTTTTCATGACATTATTTAATTTTTTTTAAATGTAAAGTATTAAATATTTTTTAAATGGAATTTTTTAGTTTGATTACTAATTTTATCTTTTATTTGTTCACTGTTACTAAGTTTTCTACTTAAATTGAATTAAGAATCATTTATTTTCAAATTTAATAGAACTCCTATTGATTATCTATTTTTTTTCTTACTGTATTTATTTATAGTAAAATGTAATTTCAACAAAAAAAAGAGACATAATTAATAAAAGATTAATTTTAATTAAAAAGTTAATTAAAATTAATGATTTTTAAATTAAAAAAGACATTTATTATTATTTTATAAAGGCATTACAATGATTTTTTTTTATCTCAACAAAAATTAAAGTATAGTCTTATTGAGGCATTATTCCATTGATGTTACAGCTATAAGTTGCGTATTAAAAGTGGTAGAAAATGTTTAAATAAATTTAACTATTTCTTATCTTCTAAATAGTGATATTAATTGTTTTCTTTTGTATGGAATTGCAACATGAAATGCACCATTGCTTTACCATTGGACAATTAATATTTTTATTCTTTTTTATACAATAGAAAGCTATTGCTGCTTTAAATGGATTACAAAGCAATGCTGCCTATCTTCAGAAAGCTAGAGCAGAACGAAGCAGTAAAGCTTATCAGAACATTATTGATACGAAGCATCATTTAGAAACACTTCATATAACAGTGAGTTTTGTGCAATGTTTCGTTCATTTTAATATTTTTTTAGATTGAGTTTTTCATTGAATAAAAGTTTTAGCTCTTTAAGTTAAAAGTTCATGTGTAGCATAAAGCAGTTTTAAACTTGCCTGCTGAATCAGTAAAAAATGAGTTAGGCATAAGGTTGTGTCTTATGAATTAGGAGTGCACAAGTTGCAGTGCACAAGTTGCAGTTGCAAATGTGTTTTGAATGGTCAAAGTTTGTCCCCTTGCCTTCAGCCAAAAAATAATTAGGAAAACTACAGTGTTAATGCAAGAAATTTTATGACTGTTTTTGTATCGAACTAACTTATATGAACCCAAAATTTTTTTACATAATTATAGCATTAAAAAACTAAAATGTAGAGATATTAATTGAATATAAGTATCATATGATTTATATATCTAATGTCATTTTGATAGTTTTTTTTAAAGAAACATTTCTTTAACCAAAACTTGTTCAAAATAAATATATTTTATAAAATAAATAAAATTTTACAATAAATTTTATAAAATGAAAGCTATATGTTATTTATGCTATAAAAATCTATTGAAATTAATTTTTCCTTATAAAAATGCTTTTTTTTAAACTTTTCTTTTAACTTTGAAGTTAAATTGATATTGTTTTTACTACATATATGAATAACTAAGTTTTAAACAATTGATTATGGTATATAGAGTTATAAAATCATAATTTATTGCAATTATAGAAGTAAAAAATAATAATAATCTGTGTCTTTCTTAAGAAAAAAGTTGGGCTCCACTGTTTTATAGGTTGTTTTGTAGGTTCAGAATATTGTCTTGTCTACACTTAAAGAAATTTAACAATTTTAAAAGTTGCACTTAAGACCAATTACTTACATATTAAAAGTAGATTTTTTTTCTTCAAAATTATATTAAATGGTATTACTATTTGTTAATACATATACTCATTTACATGAATTTTTTTAGTTAAGTGATGTAGATTCCTTGAATATTATTCATATTGCTGGTACCAAAGGAAAAGGTTCAACATGTGCATTTACTGAAAATATTCTTAGAAATCATGGCTACAAAACTGGATTTTATAGGTGTGTATCCTGCTTAATTAATCAGCAATTTTTAGATTTAAATTTTTTTCTTCAACATTTTTATGGGATAGTTGATAAGTAGGACAAACCATTTAAAAATAGAAATAATTTGTTGTGTGTATCACAAAGGAATCTGTAAAATAATATTCAAAAAGTAAAGTAACAAAAAGTAAAGTATTCAAAAGTGGTAAAGTAAAGTTTAAAGTAAAATAAGCAAAAGTTTTCTGATAGTTCACTTTCCGAATTAAATTATTTTCATAACTATAAAAACCAACTTTTTTGATTAACTTGTTTTCTATTTTACAATAGCTCAGCTGAGAATATTTAAATTTTCCTTTGTTTGATATAGCACTATAGAAATTCTAATTTACTTACACTTTCATCTCTGTATAAATTTTTTTCTTCCAATTATCTTGTTAAAAGTTTGTTATCATGTATGAACATTAAAATTTACATAAATTTTGTTCCATTGAAATTCACTTGCTAAAAGTATTATTATTTTTTTTGCTAGGTTCTTGTGTGTTCTATTTACTAAAATTTATTTGATTTTTTACAAGATTTTTTAAAAGATAAATTTTTTCTAAACATTTTTATTGATTTTAGCTCTCCTCATTTAATATCTGTGAATGAAAGAATCCGTATAAATGGTAATCCATTATCCAAAGAAAAATTTGCTGTTTATTTCTGGGAAGTTTATGATGCTATAAAATGTAATTTAGTAAGTTGTTTAATTTTTATTGATAATATTTATGACCTTAAATTTTTCATTTAAAATTATGTTATTAATTTTAAATTTACATTGTTCATTTTTAGAAAGAAGAGGAAAGAATGCCATCTTATTTTCTCTTTCTAACAGTAATGGCATTTTATGTTTTTATAAAAGAAAAAGTAAGTTTGCAATTAATTTGTAAATCAAAAATTTTTTTTTCAAGTACTGATTTATTATTCCTTTATAATGTTTTTGACTTTTTTTTAAATTTCAAATATCTTGCTTGGCTTTCTTTTAAAATTTTTAGTTAGTGATTTGGCTAAAATGTATTTTGAAGTGAATTATAAGCTGAACATTTAACCTGGGGCCGAGATAGCCTGGTAGGTAAGGTGTTGGACTCAGGTTTGTGAGAATGGGAGTTCAAATCCAGCTGGCTGTAGAATGCTCGTTTGGTTGCGTGTGCATGGTGAATAGTGATTGGTGCAGGTTAAATCTGTATGGGTCATGTCCAAGTTCCTATAACAAATTAATACTTTTGGGGGTACTGAAATGGAGATTGATAGTTCTCTAGTTCCAGTCAAAATTACGTATGAATAGGTCCGCCTTGTAAAAATGTACTGGGAGGTGTGTGTGGTTAAAGTCTTGTTCTTTCCCATAGATGGCACCACTGAAAAACAAGAAATGCACCCTCTGCCTTAAATTTGCTTGATTTTCCAAGTAGGCAATAGAAACACCAACAAACACATTTACTGTATTTGAAGTGATTTTTACCCAAGTGAATTTGTATGTTATATTTCCAGAAATACTAAACATATCCTCTATATCAAAATAAATGTTTATTTAAATGATTTAAAAGGATAGCTTATGTTTAAATAATTATTTATTGCATATGGGTTTGTTCACTGTTATGATAAAATTTTTTTTTCTCAAATATTAAATACATTTTATTAAAGTGTTAATTTTTTTTTGTTAACATGAAAGATTTCAATTTTTTTTGTTGATAATATCAATATTTGAAAAATCTGTGTCTGGTTTAGTGCCCCTGTAGTTTAGAAAACTAAATAAACTATAAATTTATAACAGATAACTTATGATGCAAGAAGTTTCCAAAGTATTTTGGGAATTTTGGCTGCTCTTTTAGTTAAAGGGCATGACAAAAATATTTTCACAATAACTATTTAATAACACAAAATTAATGTACACAACTGCTGACGCAATTCAGACTTGATCCTTTTTCAACTCTAGTCTACGTATGGATTTATATTTGATGCAAAACTTTGGTTAAAAATTTTAGAATCCCCATTTGGGTGAAGGTATTGAGATTTGTCTCACGTATTAATTTATCGTGGAGGGTAACACATTTAGAAAATATTTTTTCTTCTAATTTTGATTAGTTACAAATTTCTATCAAAATAACACGTCTCTTTGTGATTTTCTCTTAAAATAGTAATAAAAGTAATTCTATGCTTCAGTTATATTTGTTATTAAATAAAACCTTATTGTCATGTATTTTTGAGAGTATTTAATTTTTTTCACATTCTTATATCAGAATATATTTGGTAAACAAATCATTTATTTATTTTAATAATACCCTTTATACAACATTATCAATGGTGGTGCTCCTTCCCCCTTTCTTTTAGAAGTGCTTTAGAGGCCTTTTTAGTTTTATTTTTATATACAAAATGGATTAGAATTAAGTAACTCTCTGAAATTGCTTTATACATTTAAGTTTTCAGTTTAAGCAGCAACTGTTGTGTTAAGTGAAGGAGTTATTAGGCCAATAATTTAAGAGAATAACTCTAATTTAATAATCTCATTAAATTTTTAGCTTTTTATCCTTAAATAAAAATTAAAAAATAGTATCTTGAATAGTAAACATCATGATGATACGGTTACATACATGTTGTAAATAAAAGCTTAAGAAATAGTTTTGTCATATTCTAGTTTCACAAATTCATTTAAAAATGTTTGAAGGTCAAAATTTTTTATTCTCATAATGTAAATGAAACTCTTTGTTTGCTTTTAAAATTTATGTGTTTGTTATTCTGGCTTTTGTTTTTATTTACTTTCGTGATTATTGTGTGTACAAACTGTTTTGATTTTATTTTTTGTTTTAACCTTTTATTAAATAAAGGTAAAAAAGTTATGCAAGTGTTTGAAAATATAAATATTTCATGTCTTTATGTAGGTTGAAGCTACAATCATAGAAGTTGGAATTGGTGGTCTTTATGACTGTACAAATTTTATCAGGTAGAAATTTATTCTTTGCTAAAAGATTTACACATTTTTATTTAATATTTTTTAAATTTTTTTTATTTAATATTTTTTCTTTTTTTTATTTTCGTATAAAGCTTGCGTAGAGTATTTATTGGAGAATTTTATAACTTTTCATATTCTATTTAATAACTTGAATCTATCACTTATTTATGTGACCAAAACCCTTATCTTATGTTGAATCATTCAATCGATTAGCAAGAATTACCTTTGCTAAAATTATCAAATATTTTGTAAAGTAAAAATATGCTGTAGTTGTGTTTGACTTTCAGTGACGGGTAATTTCTGTCACGGAAAAGCATTATGTAAAAATCCATTATGTAACCATTGCAGAACTTTCTATTAATCAATGGTTAAGTTTTTCTTTCAGTTATGTGTTTAGAACACTACTTTCTGAAGCCCTATTTTTTAAAGTTTTTAAACCCTAATATCCAATTATTCGACTCTTTACTCAGGCTATAAGAAATTAAAAAGAAAACCATTATATTAACTCTATGAACATGTTGTATGTTTTGTTTTATTTATTGGTGATAGTTATAAAATTCATCAAATCTACATCGTAATTATCGAATTTTGTTCTGAAACTGAACAAAAAGTTCATGTATAAACTTTTTTCTTATTAACTAATAATGCTAACATTTTAGAAAACCTGTTGCAGTTGGGATAACTACATTAGGAATAGATCATGTAAACCTTCTGGGTGGTACAATAACAGAAATTGCTGAACAGAAAGCTGGAATCATGAAATCAGGTGTCCCTGCATTCACTGTTTCCCAACCAGAAAATGCCTTAAGAGTCCTTCGTAAAAAAGCTCAAGTTGTCCAGGTTGTTTAACTATTTAATTTTCTATGTTAAAAGCTTTTTTTTTTAAATTACCAAAAATTGTTAACTGTTTCTCCATTAATGTTTTTCCTTTTTCGTACAATTTTTGTTAAAACATGTAGAGCTATACCACATTATGTTTTTTTTCCCATTGTTTAATGTCATCATTTTTTATTTTATTTTATTTATCACATTATTTATAAATAATAACTATACATAATTAAGAATTCATCAAACTTACATGCCATGATATGTTAATTTCAGTGTCCCCTGGTTTTATCACCTCCATTAGAGTCTTACGAGAATAAAATTTCTTTAGGGATCCAAGGAGTCGTTCAAAGTGTAAATGCCTCCCTTGCCCTTCAGTTGTCTCATTGTTGGTTGACTTCAATAAAATTTATTGGTTTGTATGATTATACTTTTTTGTCCTCTTGACAATGACAAACATTTTCTCCACTTAGAATATTTATTAAAATTTTTAGTAATTTCCTGACAATCTTTAAATAAACACAAAAATTAAAGACTCCAGAATCAAGCAAAAGGTTAAATATGCGTTTCATCTCTTGCTTTTTTAATTAAAATAATCTAGATTTGTACTCTATATAGGTGAAACCATAAATATCTCTTCTCTAATCAATCAGAAGATAATGAGACCCAGCCCAAATTTTATTCAAAGACAGTATTGGGAAGCATTCTTATTTTTGAAATTTATGCTTTTGTATGATTTAAAGCAATTGTTTTAAACTTATTGTATAAAATAGTTCAGAACAATTGTAAGGCTAGGTGCGATGTAGGTAAGGTGTCCTTTAGAAATAACACATTTTATTACTTTACTGTTCCAATACTGTCCCAATATTCAAAATCCTATATAATTCATGAATATTTATCTATATTATTCCCTGTATCTTTATTTTTATATATCTTTATGTATACATTTTTATTTTCTTATTTAGTTCATACTTTTGAGAGAAGTTTCATGATTTCAATTTGTAATGGTGAAACGCAGTTAAAGTTAGAACTACATTAACAATTTCAATTTCTGTCCCAAAAAGAAAAATCCTTCGAAATAAAACTTTTTTTTCTTCATAAAAATGTAATTAAATTAATTAAGCAAAATTACTTTACCTGCGAACTGTGAATAAAATTTATAAAAATTTATTTTATAAGCAATGTTTCTACATTGAATATCGAAGATATTGTGTATCCAATCCTAATTTAAGCTGGGAGTTAAAAGATTAAACTGACATGTAAATTTAGTGTTTCAAAATTACATTGCAACTATGTCTGATTCCTTCAATTTTCTACAAATATTTAAAATGTATCAAAATGAAACATTTTGCGGCTGTCAAATATATTTAATTGTAAACTCCAAAAAGCAGATTAAAAACTTAGTAGAAGTTTTAAATACATTTTCATTCCTAATGTCTACAACCAAGAATAGGATACCCTATAATTGCTATTTTTATTCTTTTTTCCTTAATTTTCAGAATAATCTTAATTTTCAATATCCCTATGAGCATGTCACAGCTTTTTCCTAACTTCCAACTGATTGCTCACCTGCATCAAAAAACTGATTTTCCCCATCTTATTTAATGGGAAAGCAAGTGCATTGCAGTGAAATTTTAATACAATTTCACCTAAGGGCTTTTTGTTTAGGGTTAATTGAATTAATCAAAGAAAGTAAACGTATCAAGTCGATATTTTTTTTATAAATGTTATGCACTTTAATGTTGAAACTCGAGTTCTTATTTTTTCTAATTAATTTTTGTATTTTATTATTAGATCAAAACTCTTCAAGCACGCAACAATTACAACACTTTGAAAATTTGTATTTGAATGAAGAACTTCCTCTAATGATTGCTGATACATTTTTTATTAATAAAGAAACACACCTAGGTAATATCCACCTCCCAAAACGTAAGAAACAAACTTAGTTTTTAATTTTTAACCTTATTTGTATAATTTAATTGTAGCTTTAGAAAACTGTATATGGCCTGGCAGATTTCAGACACTGGAAAAAGACCGACTAACATTTTATCTTGATGGTGCTCATACGCATGAAAGCATGAAACACTGTGGAAGGTGGTTTGAAGAGGCAGTTCTGAAACACAATACTAAATTTAAGTAAGTTACCTTCTGATTTCAAATAATAATAGGTGCAGTTATTTTTATGTTATATTATTTTTCATGATGCTTAATATTCAGTGATGCTTAATATTCACATTTTTTTGTGATGCTGACATTTATATTTGTGTCAATGTTATTTATTTTTCATTTGTGTCTATGTGGATGGTAACTAGTGCGGTTTTGGTAGAAAATAATTTTTCAATCATGCACAGAGAGTGTAGTAGAAATTAAAAAAAATATAATTTAATAAAATAATTTAGTAAATATAAAACAAAATAAAAGATAAAATAGCTACTGAGCATTTGTAAAAGTTCAGTCCATTTCATAAAGTACAAAATAAAATTGGACAACTTGAAAATGTTATAATAAATGAAAATAATGAATAACTGTTATAAATAAAAATTTTACAGTCAGTAATCAAATAAGCTTTTGAATTTCTAATTTAAAAAAAAATTTCATTAATATTAGAATTAATTCTTGAACCTAATTAGATATTATTATTTTTCAAAGTACCTTTGGATTGCACTGTTAAAAAAAACTCTGCAAAGCCACAGTGGCTCATGTTCATGTTTAACCATTTATGAATTATGTAGGAATTTCTAATATTCCAAAAATAGTTGAATGTAAGGATGATTAAAAAACAGCTACATCTGTTTTCATTATTTTGAAAATATTAGATTTTATTATTTCTAATCATAGAAAATGAGCTTCTGGCATCAAAGGTAAGTTGTCCATAACATTTCTGAGAATGTCATAAAGTTTTTATATAATTTAGTGCAAAATAAAACTAAAAACTTCGTTTTCTCCTTTTTAACCTAGCATTCATTAATGTGTATCTTTTAATGCTAATCCATTTTCCTTAATTTTTTCCCCTCAACATTTTTACTGGCATATAACAATGCCAAATATAAAAGCAACCAAAGTCATTGTTCCAAAAGTTCTCTAAAATGTTAGTAGATTGCCATTTCAAAATCACCAAAAAGTTATGCATGTTGACAGAGAAGGTCTCAATTCAATGGATCTACTAAATAACAAAGGTGGCAGCTAAAGTTTAAATTTTTTTTTATTTGATGGAGTTGCTCTACCAGACAGCCATGGCCAGTCAGATGCTGGATTGGGTAGCAATATCTGGACGTGGGTTGTAGTGCAAAAGATTCAGAAAACTGTGAACCATGTTGTCATTGCAAGATCGTTGCACAAGGTGTTTTGTTTTAAATTTTATTTTTTTAAAAAATGTATATCATTTAGTTTTAATATTGATCTGTTTTTTTTAAATTCAAATTAAGTTGTGTTTGATTTAGAAATTTTTTTGTTACAAGATTTTAAGTTATTTACCTCTATTTAAGAATTATTATTTTTGTAGATTATATTATAACCACTTGTAATTAGTGTTAAATTTAATTATTAAAACAGGAACACTGATATAGATCGTATGGAACAGATAACATTCATATAGGTCATACTTTACATTAAGTACATTGAAGGCCAAATGTAGTTACTAGCAATTTATATTTAACATCAACATCATTTTTATTGAATTATTTAAATAATTTCTTATGCACTAAATAAATCTGTATCTAGCTTTGTTTTTAAATGCATTTTAATGCTAACGAGTAAAATTAAAAAACAAAGCAGATTTCTATGTATCCATTAATTGCTAAGCAAACAAATTGTAATGAATGGGTATTTCCCCACCTTTTTCTGTCTAAGCTTTTCTATCACTGGATGTGAAACATATTTACTCTATTATAAAGTTTCTCTGATTTCTGTTCTTGTTTCTCATTCATAACTTTTACTCAATTGCTGAGATAAAAAAAATTGCTATCAGTTAAATTGTTTTTGTTTCTTTAACCTTTGAATTATCAATACATCATTGCCGACCCAAATTTAAGGCTAGAAACAATGGATTGATCTTTGGTTTCTAGTTGATATGTAATCTTTGTGTCATTTAAATATCTTTTTTTATTATTATTTCTTATCTGAAAATGGCATCACAAAACATATAATGCCTGCATTCTTTTATTAAAATATTAGTGGAAATAAATGGAGAGATAATACTAAAGAATGTTTACAAAATATCAGAAGTGCATTGAATAAAATTAAAAAAAAAATATTTTTCACTTTAAAGTAAACTTTTCTCAATGTGTGTTCAAGATGAACTGTATAGTTACTCTATTATTTAAATGTTAGACTTTGTCATGTCATAATAGATCTGACATATTTCTGAATTTTATTTAATACAATTTATTTCTTATATTAATATTTAATTCTCTTATCCTTTTTTTTAAATAAAAATAGCGGTGTATTTATTATTTCATGTAGTAGCAAAAAGACAGTTGTTAAATTTTAAAATTTTATATTGTTTCTTTAAGTGCTAACAAGTTAGTATATAATTAAAGAGATGCTCTAAATTTTGGCCATGCACCTGAAAATAAGCATTGCATTGACAATGTAGCAAATGTCTCAAATATACTAGACGTACTTTGAAATGCATCCTTCTGCCGTAAGAAGCTGGCCAAAATTTCTAGCATATACTGTAGTAGCAGCAATGGGTGTAATATTTTTAAAAGCAATAAAAATAAAATGATATAGAATGATTTTTGTTTCTTATTGTATATTACGTATTAGATAAATTTTAATGTATGCATGGGAGATTTGAAGTGTGACTCGTATAGTTAAAGGTCTTAAGAAGTATATTGTTTTATAGAAAAAAAAAAAATAGCATGTATTTGTGAAAAAAAATTTTTTTTTTGAGCTGTATTGCTTATATAATAATCCAGTTATCATTAATTTTTATTAGAACGTAAAAGGTAAACAGGCCTCATTTTCAGGATGCTAGAAGATTGTACATCTAAAAACTATTCAATATTTGAAAAGTTTCTAAAAAAAATCAAAATTTAAAAATGTCGTATATTTAAAATTTTAAATAATCGAATTTTTAAAATTCGATTTCTCAGGAATTATGCAACTAATTTTGTATTTTGCCATGTAAAATTAAATACTTTAAAATTATGAAAAAATTTATATACCTTACAATTCGAAAGTCTTATGACTGATATTAAATAAAATAATAATAAATAGTAAATATTTACTAAATTTTATTTTTTGCGTAGAATTATCTTTGGACAAATCTGCACCAAATAATTAACATTGAGATATCACCCTCTCAAACCATTAGGATGAAATCCTAGAAGGTGAAGAGCCAATCATTAGGTCAAAAGTTATTCTAGATGGTCTGTTTTTTTTTGACGCACTGCACATATCCTGCAATGGTAAATAATTAGTTAAAATTTGTTTACAGGTTGCCTGCATTGAAAGTTCTTTACTTTAATTGCACTGGTGAGCGAAGGGCAGAAAGTTTACTTGATCCTTTGGCTGATATTCACTTTGATGTTGTTCTGTTTAGCCCTAACAAAATTTCTAACATTAAAGATACTGCTTCTGGTATGAAAACTTTTTCAGTATATTTTTTCCCCTTGTTATTTCTTAACCTTAAGTGATATTTCTATATTTTCCTTTAAGTTATTGTACTGCTAACTCTTCATAGTTTTATTTTCTTATTCATTGTGTTGCATGTGGCCAGTTCCAAATTTTGTTTTAATGGCTAAACATCTAGCCCATGTTTTTATAGCAGGTCCATATAATAGGAAAATAAGTACCAGACGTTCACAAACGCATTTAATAAGGAAGACTCAGATACAAAGATACATGGACAAGAAAAATAACAAACAAAATTCCGAGAGCTCTTCACTATCTAAAATCGTGAAGCCATCTGCCCATTCAATGTTAACGCCTGCATGTGTACACATAACTCAGAGTGAAAAATAAAACCACTCTCCACACATTCATTACTCAAAGCCTAGCATTCACGATCAAAATTAGTATTTTTTCAACGCATAGTTATACAATAAAAACTAAGTATGTTCAGTGTTTCCATCAATTACACGATATCCATCCTATTCGGCCAGATTTTTAATACTTGGTTATTACTCGTACTCGCCAAAAATGTTTTTACCGGGTACCCGGGCTTAGTTTTTAGTCTTGAGACCCAACACCATATCATTTTACCAAGTATCTAGTGCCGTGTATGTTCAATACAACCAAATTCGGCCTTTAACCATGGCAACTTTGTAGTTTATTAATGTAAAGTGCGAATATGTGAGAGAATGTAAAAGGGGAATAATGCAAAGTGAGAATATATTCTAAAATTGGTTTACATTTTCATTCTTTAAAGTTTGTAATTGTGTATTTTGTAATTTATTAAAGTAAAGTAAGAATATATCCTAAAATCATCCCACTCTTTCATCTTTTTAAAATTTGCAATACTTTAATGTAAAGGGAGAATATATCTTAAAATCATTTTACCTTTTTATTTTGTTTAGATTTGAGTAATTTTATGGTTGAACCTGCTCAAGAAATGCAACAGTGCATTGCAAACAATGAGATATGGTGTCACCTGATGAGAAGTTTGTATGAAAACCAGTTGAGTATTTCTAACTATTCCAGTTCAAATTTTGCTGGAAATGAAGCCTCTATAGACTGTGATAATACTGTGATATTTCCGTCCATAACGGATGCTATTGACTGGATATCTTCTTTAAACTATCAGAGGACTGATCAAGAAATTAAAGTTCGAAAATTAAGGGAAACTTTGTTGGGTGCTCATCACGTACACGTATTGGTTACGGGCAGTTTGCATCTTGTGGGTGGAGTATTGTCTTTAATTCAATCATAAATTGTTTTTATTTTATTTAAGTTTATTGTGCTTTATAATTGTGGAACAACAAACTAAAATTTTTATCAAATGAAAATGTAACGATTTCTGACTCAGAAACTGAAATTAAATTTTTTTTATTAGGAGTAGACAAATCCAAAATTGGCATGGTGCCGAAATGTTTTGTGTTATTTATTTTTATTTGTTAAATAATGTGCTGTCATGCATAAAACTATCAGTGGTGATTGTATTCCAGGTTTTTCATATAATTTTTCTGGGTTTAAGAACTAAAAGCCGGACATGTGATTTTTTTTCGCAAAAGCTAGTACCTCATCTCAAGACCATTGGTTTGCGGATTTCCGAGAATCAAAAACTTACAATCTTACAAAATTTTGAAAATTTACCTCTATCTTTTTAATGAAACGTTTGCATGCATATGATTCTTCCGCAAATCTGATTCTTTTGATTCGGTGTATTTTTATCATTTTGAATATTTGGAACTGTACGGGAATCTCCTAATATCACGATTCTCATTCATGCGCTTTAATATCAAACATCGATTATTGTATTAATTTGATTAAAAAAATATGCATTGCAATTCATATTCACTTGATTTAAAAATCATATATCGTGATTAGTATTCACACAATTCAAAAATCCAATTGTGCGATTTTTATTTTTCGTAAGGTTAAAATCCAATGTCGCCATTTGTATTCACACGTTTTTAAAATCCAACATTTCGATTCGTATTCAGATGTTTTTAAAATCCAATATTATAATTTTTATTCACGCGGTTGTACTATCAATAATCGATTTTCGTATTTATACTTGATTTTCTAAAAACACATTGCGATTCGTATGCACAGGATCTAAAAATTCAGTATCGCAATTTGTATTTTCGCATTTTTGATGTCAAATATCTCGATTCATATTCAAGCGCATTTAAAATCCAATATTGCGATTCTTGTGAGAAATAAGTTTTTTATTTAATTAGTTACTATAAATTTGTTATATTCTTCATTGGTAAGAAATCTAATTGTTAATGTTAGTTTAAAAAATTATGTTAAACATGAAACATGTATGGTAAATAAATTGTTATCTTGATATCAACATTTTGAACATGAAGTTTTCGGTTTTTTTCACTTAGGGTTACAATCACCCCAGAACTAAATTAATACCAAACATTCTTGTTTGTTATTAACTTAATTTATTAAAAGTTTTGATTTTGATACCACAGTAAAAATTTTTAAAAAATTGATCAAATGTAAAACCTAAAATTATTTTCTATATTAATGCCAAATATACTTGGTTATTTCAAAAAATTATTTGTATCTATGCATGATTCAAAATTTTAATGGATACCACAGAGAATTTGTCTTAGATCAATTTTTTAATTTTAATATTTTAAGCCAATCATTGTGCCTCATGATCATGCAACAACAAATTAAAATTTTTATGTAATGAAAATGTAACAATCTCTGACTGGAAGAACTGAAATTAAATTGTGGTTATTAGGAGTTGACTTATCCTAAATTCTTACGGTGCTTAATTGTTTTGCCCTATTATATATTTTTCATTTGTTAAATAATCTAAGGGCACTTAATTTTTTTTAAAAATTTATTTATATAGTTTTTAATATTTACTTTTGTACTTAAAAAAGATATCAGTTTATTACTTTGTACAATATCTTTATACAACAAATCTAATTTTTTATATTATGAAAAAACAATAACTTGTATCGCTGACGTAAACTCAAATAGTGATTATTCTTTTTGGACAAATCCTGAATTGTCACGTGGTTCCTAGGTTTTCAGTATTTGTTCAATTATGTGCAGGCACTTAAAAAGTGTCTTACTCGTGTTATCACAATTTTTAAATATTTCATTTGTACTTGAAAATGATTCATATCCATCTCTCTGTACATGAGATTTTTTTCATGTTTCATTCTTGATTATTTGTTTAAATAAACTTTTTTTATTTTAATGAAGCTATGTCTAATTTCACCTTTGATATTAAAGAATTATGTATTCAATCTGTAAATTTAGCTTAGAACATGTGATGACGTTGTCTTTAGTAAAATAGGAAGGTGATCAGTTTTAAATTACAAAGATCTATCAAAATTTTAATATTCTGGCGAAAGATAATAAATCTCTTTCCATGGTCAAATGCTTTCTTCTCAACTTAGTAGCCATTAAGTTAATTTTTTTCTCTAGGGTCTTTAGCTCTTGTGTAAGAAATCTTATTTCATTTCAATGTTCTAATATTTGTCTATGACCACTGGCAACACTTAAAAATAAAAGTCTTAATGCCTACAAAGCACATTATATTTATACACCATTTAAATGTTTGTTCCATTTTTAGCTCTTATAAAATGATTAAGTTCTTTTTTTTTTTTAAATGTTTTTTTTATTTGTTAATAAAAATCTGCTATTTTTATTTTCAAACAACAAAAAACTAGAAATAAGTTATTGATTGTTCAAAAGTTCCTTAGCTTACAGTTCTCTTAGTATATTAGAATTTAAAATTAAGTTTGATGTTATTAACTGTGATGTAAGAAAGAATTGACAAAATTATATATATTAAGAGATTAAAAATTGTGTTACATGTATATTAAGATATTAAAAATAAATTACAAATTATTTGTGTTAGGAGATAACAGATTTTGTTGCCTTAAATAGTTAATATAAAATCTCTAGTCTCTTTGTTTCATATTAAATTACGTCTTAAAGATGAACAATTGCAAAATTGTAATTTAGAAACATAATTGCAAAATATATTTCAGAGTAAAACTTTATTTTTTTAAAAATAAAATTAAAATGTTTTTTTTATGCACTCTTTTTTTTTTTTTAAACACACATTTATTAAATGAATATATCTATTTACATAATGCTGTCTCTTATCTGTATTTGTGGAAGAGAGTAAATACTGCTTGTTAAGAATAAAATCTGTAAAATTTTAAGAAACACTTCAAAAATCATGTATTCGTATACATTTCATATATTCTGCTGAGAAAATCTGTTTTTTTCCACATTTCTTTACCTGAGGTTTCCAATCTTTGCATCTTATAAATAAATGATCAGTTACTGGATGAGGAAAGTTTCCTTGTTTTTTCGTGCACTTGTACCACTTTCTAACATCTCCAGTTTCTTTTATGATACAGTCAACATCATGTTTTTCGCAATCTGTTTCTGGGGGTCCTATAGGTTTTGGGGTTGTGTGAGTGTGGTTTAAGCAAGGATGGATGGTTGAATGTTGATGTGTAGTATCACTTGAGTCATCTGGTGAACTGTTTGTGCTGTCTGTTACTGTATCTGTGTTATCTGAATTAGTTTTATCAGTTGTAATTTCAACTGGTGTGACATCTGAACCTGTTTTGTCATCAGGTGTGCTGTTTGTGACAGTTTTATCATCAGGTGTGCTGTTTGTGACAGTTTTGTCATCAGGTGTGCTGTTTGTGACAGTTTTGTCATCAGGTGTACTGCTCGTGACAGTTTTGTCATCAGGTGTACTATTAGAACTGGTTATATCATCAGGTGTACTTTTTGAACCAGTTCTATCATCAGGCGTGCTGTTTGAACCAGTTGTGTCATCAGACGAGCTGTTTGAACCTGTTGTGTCATCAGGCGTGATGTTTGAAACTGTCGTGTCATCAGGTGTGCTGTTTGAACCTGTCGTGTCATCAGGTGTGGTGTTTGAGCCTGTTCTATCATCTGGTGAACTGCTTGATCCAGCTTTATCATCTAATGTGCTTCGATTTTTATTATTTTCATCTGAAGTGTTTTCATTGTTAGTGCTGCCATCCGTTACAGAATTTGTATTTGTGATATCACTTGATGTAAAACCAGAAGTCTGATCATTTTCTGTCACATCTGTTTGTGGAGTTTTAGAATCTTCTGATCCTTTGCCTTCATCGTCTGTACTAATTACTGTAGGTGCAAGTGTGGAATCATCTATCGATTTAGTGTTGTCAGTGATAGATGTTTTATCTTTATTAGATGCTGTGTTAATTCCATCTCCAGTAATTGGTGATGAAGTAGAAGTAGAGTCTGTATTTTTTGTACCTGGGTTTCCTGTTCCACTTGGGGAAATACTGTTTCCATCATCACTTTGTGCTGTTGTAATTTCAGTGACATCTTTTGTAATATCACCAGTGACTTCTAGTTTTGTACTGGCAGTTACATCTTGAGATAAGTTTGTTATTTCTTCCGTTATTCTAGTTGGCTCATTTGTTTGAATATTATCATTGGTCACACCTGTTACCATTGTGGTGTCTTCAATTAATTTATCATTGGTCTTAGTTGATATTGTTGATTCACCCTCAGTTGAAATTTTTACTGTACTTATCTCTGATACTTCAGAAGTGCCCAGGCCATCAGTTACAGTCTTTTTATTGTCAGTTGCAGTTGAACCATCATCAGAATTTGTTCCCATATCTCCTGTACCAGGAGTTCCATCAATATCAGTTGAAATTGAGTCTTGTGAAGATGTCTCTTCATCACTTTTTGTGTTTGGAGTGTCTGGTAGTGGCGTGCTTGGCTTATCTGATGTCCCATCGTCTGTTTTCGTTTTTGTAGAAATGCTTTCACTATTAGTGGATCCTTCTGTAGGGTTATTAGTGCTTGGATTATTAGTAATATCTGTTGATATATGTGAATTAGTATTTTCCTTGTTAGTGCTGTCAGTATTAATATCCGTATTAGGGTTGCTTGGAGTTGTATTATCACTTACTGTGATTTTGTCAGGCTCAGTTGGATCAGTGCTCCCTGTATAATTGATACTGGATGATGGGGTTGATTGGTCTTTATTTTCAGTCACTGTTTCTGTGTTTTCAAAAGTTGATTGTGTGTTTTCAGTTATTTTCTCTGTCAATATACTATCTCCTGTTATTTCAGTACCTCCAGTTTCCTTTTCTGTTGCACCTGTCGTCCCTAGAATAATAAAAATCATTATTATTAGCTCATAAAATTTTTAAAGGTTTCATAAAAGTTTTAAAGGTTATCAATATAAATTGTGTTAAGAATTGAAAAGACTTGTATAACTTAAAAGCTTGAAAAATGTAAAAATGTTATTCATGATTTATGAATAACCATAAGGGTAAATTAAAACATGGAAACTGAAGGTACCGAAAATCTTTATTGTAGTGTGCAAATAAAAAGTGAAGCATTCTCATAAGCCGCTTCTGGGTTCATGGAGATTAAGACTAATTTATTTACAGACCATCTGCGTGGCGGGGGCTATGTGGTCACAACGACTCCTTTTTTTTTCCAGAGAAGCTGTTACTCAATGGTCTGAAGCTATGTGAGCTTCAGACCATTCTTTATTTCTGTCATCTAAACTCTGAACTACACTTAACGAATACACTTAAATTTGAAAACTTTTTTTTCTCTGATCGTAAATGCTTTTTAAAATTTTAGTTGTGGTTTATGAAAAAAATATTAGTCATTAACAAAATTATAAAAAAAATTGGAAAGGTGTATTTTTAATAATGTACATTTTTATTGTGCTAAGTATAAGTATGCAATACATTTACATGTAAATAAGTTGACGAATATACGTTTTAGAAGTAAGCTTTAATCATATTAGGATTGAAAAGATTTCTTTAAATTTTTTAGTGTGCATAAGAAAAAGGTGGCTGCATCTTTGTGTTTTTTTTATGCAATAAATTAATATATGAAAAAAATCATAATAATAGTAATCATACAAAATAATAAAAATAATTTATTTAATGCTGTGTAACAATGGCAGGAATTGTTTTCCCTGAGAAATATTGTAAATAACATTTCCTGCGATACAGTAACCATATTATTAATATTAAAATTATGCAACCGTACCTTCATCAGTGCTGTTGTCAATTGGAGTTGTTAAAGTTCGCAACCACTCGTCACACTCATCTGGTGTTTCAGTTGTTTCTATAAAATTAAAATTTATATCAAGTCTTAATTTGAGTGAATACCACAGAGAAAATTAAAGTAAAAACTAATACTCATTTAGACAGTTTAAAGAATTTTCTATAGTAGAGAACCGATTATCCGGAACGATCGGGACCATCGCTATTCCGAATAACTGATTTTTCCGGTTTTCTGAACCACTACAAAAAGCCGTTTTTTTATTGTTAAACCCAACTAAAAAAAAAAAAAAAAAATTAAAAATAATCTTAAAAAAGAAGAAAAAACGATGAAGTAATACACTAATGATTATTTCCAAAATGGTGGTAAGGTAAACATCTTTCAAAAAAGAAAGAAAAATCCTAAAATCTTATGAGGAAAAAAATTTTTTTTTTTTGAAAATGGCGGGAAATTTATCGAATTTCGTACCGGTTTTTTGGTTTTCCGGTTTTCTGATTTCCGGATAACGGGTTCTGTACCGTACTAACATAAATGTTTATTTTAATTAGTTATTTATATCATGCCTTAATCAATAATCACAAAGAAAATTAATGCATATTTAAACACTTCAAAGAATTTTCTATATTAATACCATAAATGTTTATTTTTATTAGTTATTTATATCATGTCTTAATCAATAATCACAAAGAAAATTAATGCATATTTAATCACTTTAAAGAATTTTCTGTAGTATAAAATGCGCTTGTTCATTTAGAATAGTTATATCCAGTTTTTGTTTACATGGATTCCTCAGAGAAAATCAGCAAAAAAAGTTTGTTTACTTCAAGTAGTTATTTATATAAAGTTAAACTTAAATGGGTACCACAGAGAAAATTATTATGAAAATTCCATATTTAAACATTCTAAGAATTTTTGATTTTTGTACTAAAAATACTTGTTTATTTAAATTAGTTATGTCTTGATTTGGATGGATATCAAGGAGAAAAATGATACAAAAGTAAACAAAAATTAATGCATTTTTAAAAATTTTAAATAATTCTCTGTATTATAATACCTTATGTTCTTTAATTTAAATTCGTTACTATGATCTTTAATTTAAATTCGTTATTTATATCATATGTTTCACATTGTAAAACATAAAACTTTAAAAACAACTTTCTCGAATGTCTTAAAAATATTAATTTTTTAATTCTAATTTGTAAATTCCAATTCAGTATTTATGTGGTACTGGACAAAACATGATTGCAGCTTATCTCGATCAATGCCCTGCTTTGAGGGACTTGATATGTACTGTGAAAAAGTATTGAAAACCCCCTTAGCATGATAGCCAATAGACTGGCATTTGTAAAAAGATTAAGATAATTCCGATTCAGTACTGCTATAAAGTTTTATGATATCTAGGATGTGTATCTTTTGAGAGTCCTTGTTATACATTACGGATCACAAATGTCAATGGCAGATGTTTTAGGACATCACAGAGGTCTAATAAAACTGTTTGCTCTTTTAAAATATTATTCATTTAGCATCGATATCAAAATGACTCACTTGGTGGCCTGTATCTATCGCCACAGTTTACTTTGTCTTCGTCGAAGCAAATTCTCATGACGTTGTCGAAAAGCATTCCACTAGGGCATTCATTCTCTTGGAATTCCCCGTCTTTGCAAGTATAATACAATCTGCAATCTTTTGGATGGTGGAAGTCTCCATCTTCTTCTTTACACTCATCTTTAATTGGCTTTTCTGTGGTTGTACTTACTCCAGTAATTGTTGAAACTTTAAGAGAAAAAGTTATAACTTGTTTTGTCAATTGAATTAAAATAATACTTTAGCACAAAATAAGTAAAAAAAACAAGAAATCAATGTATTACTCTGAATAACTTTTCTAATCTTTGAGTTTGTCACAGGTGCCAATCTTAATGTTTTAAAGGGGTGACTTAATATGCTAATTTATTAGGGCAGAATATTTTAAGTTTTGAATTCATTCAGAAAAACGTATTTCTTCTATAAAGTTTTTATTGCGTATTTCTTACGTATTTATGACGTATCATTTAGTTACGTATTTCTTCATTCAGAAAAACGTATTTCTTCTGAATTAATATACCTTTCTTTCGACGGATTTTGATTTTTAAGAAACTTTGCATATTGCGTCAAATCTTGGAAACTTTATTAGCAAATCGAAATACTTAACTCACACTTATAAAATTCACTTATCCAATGATAATTCTATGTAAATAATTTTTACTAATTATTTATTGCTTTATTTAATAAAGGTTTAAATTTTTTTTGAATAATGTGTTAAAATTTTTATGCCATTTCAAATTATGTAACTTTAAATGACAAAATGCAAAATCTGAACGTCATCGGTGGAATAGTTCTAGAAATTTTTTTTGAAATTGTATAATTCAGAAATTATTTAACTAGTTACTTTCAGATTTTATATTTTGTCATTTACAGTGACATAGTTTAAAATGATATAAAGATTTTTACACCTTGCCTTTCAAAAACTTTACGATCTTTATTAAATAAAATTTTAAAAAGTAAAAAATAACCATTAAAAAATATTTCTTACATCGAATTATCTTTGGATAAACGAATTTGAACCAAACTTCTTGTGATAAGTTGAAATACACAAAAAGTTAAATTAACGTTAAGGGGGCTTGAACTTTCGACCAAGTTTCTAACTGAACTGCTGGGACCATAATATCCAGATTGCTGTTACCGCCCAGATTTTGAAAAAGAGAATTCAAATTCTGGCGAGAAAAAAAAGGTATGTCAATTCAGAGAAAGTTTGGTTTTGTGTCCGTGATTTCGCAGCTTAAAATATCGTCAACTCTAATGAACTGGCATAATTAAGGAGATCCCTTCGGGTTATTAAGATTGGCTGAAGTTGTTTAAAATTTAATCAAACAAACAAAAGTTATTCAGGGTGATGAATTTTTTCCTGAATACTGTCCAGAGTTAACCTTAATAAATCACGGGGTTTTAAAGGACTATTTATTTCCAAAACAATGACGTATGAAGACAGATGATACATGGAAAGATGCATACGCTACTGTAAAATCTTGAAGTCTGATAAATACTAGGTTTTACCGGTAAAACCCCAAGGTTCAACAAAGTGGCGTAGTAACTCCTGTTTTGCCGCAAAAGCTTGGTATAAGGCTAAAATGTAGTCATATTAACGCACACGTCTAACTGTTACCAAGGCATTTTGGTAGAAGCTAGGGTTTACCGGTAAAACTTAGGATTTGCCAAACTTCGAGTTTTAATCGTAACGCATATCCTCAAGTTACTTGTACATTCTACAAATGCTCATTGCGTGCGCCCCTGGTTATCCGGCAAACATCCCAAAGGTAAAGGTTCAATAGCCTGTTTCTTTTTATGTTCGTCACAGAAGCAGTGATGTATTTCTGCAGCTTTGTATGTTAAATAAAAATTTTCTCTCTCATGGTGGGATATTTGGGGCCCTAGAAAACCAATCCTGCAGAAATCTTACAGTCCAGTGCGCCCTATTCAGCGATGTGACAGTTTAGTATGGTGGAGTCCAGATAGAAGTGGAGTGTGTATGTATTTTATCGTGTTACCAGGTTTTTCTTTTTCTCTTGTATCCCTCAATACACTCGGTGTTCTGAAACCTGGGGAATTATTAAAGCTAAGTCTGTATTCTAATCAAGCGAAATTTTTATCAAGCGAATTAAGCGTAAGTTTCTAATATTAGCAATGGATAGAAATTAAAACATTTATTTTATTCGTGTCTGAAACATTGCTTGATTTTCCCCCTTCTACATGAATAATAAGTAATTCAATATTTGTTGTATCGATATTGACTCAAGTTGATGTAGATTATCCTATGAATATGCAGATACAGATTTCTGTATGAATGGGTGTAATTCAGTCGTAAGAGCAATTTGATATCCCACTATCAGTCCCTTAATATTTATTTTAGAAGCTTTGGTCAGAATTTGAGCCAAAAATATAGATCCATTAGGGTTAGGGGCACAAATTTATGGGAAGATTTACGTATTGTTTCTAAATTTTGACGACACCTGTGCTGTAAAACGGGAGAAAATCACACTATGGGATTAGCTATAATGGTATAACTTGTAGTCACAGCAGTAAACGAATAAGTTTTTTTAAAAAAAAAATTTGCAACTAAAAACCCCTTTGGCTCCTTTGTAATATTAGTGGGGTGAACAGATGCTTATACGTCAATACCCCAAATTTATATTAACAATGACATTAACGCGCATCAAAAACTCGGGAATTACCATTGATAAAGACGTTAAATAAAACAAACTAAAAGGTGTTTCAAAAAATGGCAACTCACTTTTTTTCCAATTTTTTAGGCAATCAAACAGTTATTGAAAAAAATAGAAAAAAAGAGTAAGTCCGAAAATAATATGATTAAGAATCACCAAATATTTGGTATATAGTTGGGTAAAAAGAAAAAGAAAACATATTGCTTGGTTGATAAACTGATCAATATCGTTTATATTAATTATAAAATTATACAATGTACGCTTAGAGTTTTTTTGAGGCTGCAACGAAATAGGTAACATGTTAAATAGTTTAGGGGTTAGTTATACTAAGTAGAAAAATTTTTTAGGTTATCTTTCAGATATATTCTTCTTTAATTTACCTCTAGTTTTGTATTGACATAAGAAAACATAAAATGCGGAAATATCAATTATGACCTAAAGGAAGTAAATTAACGTTTCTAAAAATATTGGTTATATATATATATATATATATATATATATATATATATTATGCAAATCGTAAAATAAGTCCATCTTTCGTATAATTTTCTTAACATATTTGCAGTATCAGACTGTAAAGCTATTTTTCTTAAGCCCATACATTATTAATCAAAATATTAAACTGTAACTGAATCTATGTGTATGAATTGCAACTCATAGGGTTGCTGAATGAAAAGTATTGAATTTAGTGAGAAGTAAAGTAAGAAAGTCTGATAGCTACAAAACTACATTAGTTTTTGCTGTGTCGCACTTTTCATTTAAGCAAATCTTATACTTAATAAAAAGGATTTTTCATTTTTTACCATTAAATTTAATAGTGATCGAAAATATTTGGACTAAAAGGTATACAGTTTTAATGTAATTTAAAACTGTACAACTTGAAATGGCAACATCTGATATTAGTAAGAATCTATCAATTCGTTCTTAAGAAATGAAAAAAAAATTTTTTTTTCTCAAAAAAAAAAAAAAAAAAAAAAAAAAAAAAAACGAAAAACAAAAAACGACTTCTTAAAAACTTTATAATTTAGTAAACAATCGATTGATTTCGCTAAAATTTTAAATTTTATCAAGTAAAATTTAATTCCTTAAATTAATATAAAAATTTGCGTATTTCACTGTCAAAAATAATTTCGATTATTATAAAATAGAAAAGGTTTATAAGGTTTTTAGGTTATAAAGTTTTTAAGGTTATAAAGGTTTTTCTCGGAATTTCCTTTGAATAAATAAATTTTGTATTACCGTGACTAAACTATTGCGAATAAAATCTAAATTTTGAGAATCGAAAATACGTATTTGACTAAAAAGAGGAAGCTTATTCAGAGAAAATACGTTATTATATTTGATTTCGTAACTTAAAATATCTATATCGCATATCATCTACACTATTTATAAAGCATATTTAAATTCAATCATATCAACTTTAAAGATTGTCTAACCAATAACCAATCCCACAAACCATTAAGAGAGTATCTTATTTTGCTAAAATCTGATAATTAGATAAAAGGTTTTTCGTTTTATCATCATCGAAATCGATTGGTACGTTATGTCCAAGTTATCGAAAAAGTCAGTTATGAGTTGCAACACAATGACAACACACACTATTAAAAATCCGAAACTTATTTTCAGTGTGTTACGTTGTTTCAACTCAAGTTATCAATGCAGCCTAAAATCTCTTTGTTAATAGCCAGTCAATCTAAAAAAGAAAATTAAAAGTAAAATAAAGTACTACTTACATACAGGTCTTTTTCTCGAATCACAGTCTACCCAGTCTTCTCGATAACATTTCTTGACCATACGATCAAAAACAGTGCCTTCAGGGCACTTCATGAGGCTTGCCACACCATCTTTGCACTGAGTATAAAGCTCACAATCTTCTTCGTGCGCATAACTCTCATCCTCGTCATTGCATACTATTGGAGTGACGACAGTAAAAGGTGAAACAGAGGATTTTTGAGAATCTTTGTCAGTTGAAGCCGTGTATTTTGGAGTTGAAATTTTCCCTTCCCTACCATCAGTAGCACCAGTTACTGTGTTTTCATCTCCAGTAGCGCCTGTTCCTTTCCTTCCATCATCAGTGGCTCCTGTTCCTTTCCTCCCATCATCAGTGGCTCCTGTTCCTTCCCTTCCTTCATCAGTTACTCTTGTTCCTTTCTTTCCATCATCTGTGGCCACTGTTCCTTCTCTTCCGTCATCAGTAACGCTTGTTCCTTTCCTTCCATCATCTGTGGCCCCTGTTCCTTTTCTTCCGTCATCAGTAACGCCTGTTCCTTTCCTGCCATCATCAGTGACTCCTGTTCCTTCCCTTCCGTCATCAGTAACTCCTGTTCCTTTCCTCCCATCATCAGTGGCTCCTGTTCCTTCCGTTCCTTCATCAGTTACTCCTGTCCCTTTCTTTCCGTCATCAGTAACGCCTGTTCCTTTCCTTCCATCATCAGTGACTCCCGTTCCTTCTCTTCCGTCATCAGTTACTCCTGTTCCTTTTCTCCCATCATCAGTGGCTCCTGTTCCTTCCCTTCCGTCATCAGTAACGCCTGTTCCTTTTCTTCCGTCATCAGTGACTCCTGTTCCTCTCTTTCCGTCATCTGTAGCCCCTGTTCCCTCTCTTCCATCATCAGTGACGCCTGTACCTTTCCTTCCATCATCTGTGGCTCCTGTTCCTTTCCTTCCGTCATCAGTAACGCCTGTTCCTTTTCTTCCATCATCAGTGGCCCCTGTTCCTTTCCTTCCGTCATCAGTTACGTCTGTTCCTTTCCTACCATCATCAGTAGCTCCTGTTCCTTCCCTTCCGTCATCAGTAACTCTTGTTCCTTTCCTTCCATCATCAGTGGCCCCTGTTACTTCCCTTCCGTCATCAGTTACTCCTGTTCCTTTCTTGCCATCATCAGTGGCTTCGGTTCCTTCCTTTCCGTCATCAGTTACTCCTGTTCCTTTCCTTCCATCATCTGTAGGCCTTGTTCCTTCTCTTCCGTCATCAGTAACTCCTGTTCCTTTCCTATCATCATCTGTAGCCCCTGTTCCTTCTCTTCCGTCATCAGTAATGCCTGTACCTTTTCTACCATCATCTGTGACCCCTGTTTCCTCCCTTCCGTCATCAGTAATGCCTGTTCCTTTCCTTCCATCATCAGTAACTCCTGTTCCTTCCCTTCCGTCATCAGTAATGCCTGTACCTTTTCTACCATCATCTGTGACCCCTGTTCCTTCCCTTCCGTCATCAGTATTGCCTGTTCCTTTCCTTCCATCATCAGTAACTCCTGTTCCTTCCCTTCCGTCATCAGTAATGCCTGTACCTTTTCTACCATCATCTGTGACCCCTGTTTCTTCCCTTCCGTCATCAGTAATGCCTGTACCTTTCCTATCATCATCTGTGACCCCTGTTCCTTCTCTTCCGTCATCAGTAATGCCTGTACCTTTTCTACCATCATCTGTGATCCCTGTTTCTTCCCTTCCGTCATCAGTATTGCCTGTTCCTTTCCTTCCATCATCAGTAACTCCTGTTCGTTCCCTTCCGTCATCAGTATGGCCTGTTCCTTTCCTTCCATCATCAGTAACTCCTGTTCCTTCCCTTCCGTCATCAGTGGCTCCTGTTCCTTCCCTTCCGTCATCAGTAGCTCCTGTTCCCTCCCTTCCGTCATCAGTATGGCCTGTTCCTTTCTTTCCATCATCTGTAACTCTTGTTCCTTCCCTTCCGTCATCAGTATGGCCTGTTCCTTTCCTTCCATCATCAGTAACTCCTGTTCCTTCCCTTCCGTCATCAGTATGGTCTGTTCCTTTCCTTCCATCATCAGTTACTCCTGTTCCTTCCCTTCCGTCATCAGTTACTCCTGTTCCTTTTCTTCCATCATCAGTGGCTCCTGTTCCTTCCCTTCCGTCATCAGTAATGCCTGTACCTTTTCTTCCATCATCAGTGGCTCCTGTTCCCTCCCTTCCGTCATCAGTAATGCCTGTTCCTTTCCTTCCATCATCAGTAACTCCTGTTTCCTTTCTTTCATCGTCAGTGGCTCCTGTTCCTTCTCTTCCGTCATCAGTGACACCTGTACCTTTCCTCCCATCATCTGTGACCCCTGTTCCTTCCCTTCCGTCATCAGTAATGCCTGTACCTTTCCTTCCGTCATCAGTGGCTCCTGTTCCTTCCCTTCCGTCATCAGTAACGCCTGTTCCTTTCCTTCCATCATCAGTTGCTCCTGTTCCTTCCCTTCCATCATCAGTGGGTCCTGTTCCTTTATTTCCATCAGTAACTCCCGTTCCTTTGTTTTCATCATTAGTAGATATCGTAGAATCATTTTCATCATCTGATGTATCTTTTCCAGTTGGTTCTTTTGTTGCTAAAATAACACAAACAAATTGTTTCGTCAACAATTTATAATTTTAATTAAATGTTTGCTTTTGGGTGAAATTTTTTAGTTTCAGTGGAGGAAGGGGGATATACACTTTTTGTTCCTTCATGTCGGTGATGTACAGTGCTTAAAAAAGGAAAAGAAAGAACTGAAACTTCCTGAGTCCTGAATCTCTTTTTGATCTTATGTATATTAAAGAAAATAGGTGACAGTGTTTTAGGCAAAGTAATTCTGAGTCCAATTAAATCACAACATTAGCAAAAACTTAACATTATAATTTAAAATAAGTTTACAAGGAAAAATAGGAATCACTTTCTAACAAGAAAGAGGGACTGACAGTGAATGTGCTAATTAGTTAGAGCAGACTAAATTTAAATTACGAAATTAGACAGAAAAACGTGCAATAAGCATGCCTCTCTTTTGACATGCCTTCTTTTCCTGACCCTGAAAATATAGGGAGTTGACGGAATCTGGAAATACGTTCTGAATAGTTTGGTCAGGAGAGCGATCGAATTTGACCCATTAATGTAAATTTCCCTTTTTACGTATTTTTGCATATAATAATTTCATGCAAAAAATATATTATAATAAGTATTTATTATTTTATTATTATTATTAAAAAATAGTCGAAAATATTTTGAATCGTAAGATACGCAAATTTTTACATAATTTTAAAGATTGTAATTTTATATGGTAAAATAAAAATTTTGAGCGAAATCGACCGAATAGTTATGAGAAATTGAAAAAAGTATGGTGATGAAAATTATTCACATCAAGAAAATCCTCTCACAATCTTATTTGTTTAAAATTAAATTTCTCTGGAATTATTCGACCAATTTCGTTTAGTTTTTGTGTTTTGCCAAATAAAATTACAAAGTTACATTCTTTAAAATTAAGGTAAAATTTTATACGTCATATATACGTAATAATATATTTTATGGCATAATTTTTTATTTATTTTATATTTTATTAAAAATTTTTGGATTACAAGGAATTATCCATACATAACTTCATGTAAAAATACTTTTTATTTGGTTATTTATTAATAGTATTAATAGTATTAGTAGTACAGTATGTTATTTATAGTATAGTATATTATAGTATTAATAGTATTTATTAATAGTATTTTGGTTATTTAAAATATATTTATTAATATTAATTTGTAGTTCATAAAACTGCAAATCTTGAGACTTTTTTCATTCATTTATAATGGTTACTACGTAATTAGAAGTCTTGAGACTTTTTAGAAACTTTATTCACTAAATCGTTTTTTTTTCATCCAAGCGAAGAATGTTTTTATTACTAGAATTAACTGAGGTTTTTGTCTCATTCATAACAGTGATTTTCAAAAGCAACCGCATTTGACGAAGCATTTGATCACGAGAGTCAATGTTTCAAAGTGTCTTTTATTTATCATTAAAATTACAGATCACGCAATCTAATTCATACTTTTGATTTAATTTCATAGAACCGTAAAAGTAATTGGTCACTAAGCTTGACATGCTATTATTATTTCAGTAGATGTGGTAATTTTGGTTAAAAAAAAACAAACATAAATATTATCATTTTGCACAAGACGATTTCTAGTTGAATCCATTTTCGCTAAAGAAATGACTTAATGTTATTGACTGTTTAATGTTTGCATCAAGAGCGAATTTACCCAATAAAATATTTATTCCTTAGAAAATAGTTGCGTTTACACATTTTCGTTGGTCAAATTTAGTTACATTACTCCTTCGATAGCCAGAGGTACAACATGAATAGTTGTGAATTCAAATGTTTTCCCTTATCGATTTATAATCATGTAAATTTCTTTATCATGTAAATTTACATTCCAGTATTTTTTGTTGTTTAATGTTGAATGTTGAAGTATCCAATACTATAAATTTCAACATTTTTTTCTTCTGTGCACTCCATAAGAATTTTTTTTCTTCTGTTCTTAGTCTAGTATGTAGAGATGTACTTTTGTTTACGCAAGATCTGCATAATAGATCACAGATAAAAGAAAGAAAATTTTATAACTTTGTTGTTTGCAGAATTATTTTATAAAATTTCTAAAGAGTTAAAAATATTGCTGATGCATCGTACCTAAATTATGTTTATAGTTTTGCAAAGATAATTGATAGGTGCAAGTGTAAGAGAAGAAACATATCGATTTAGATAAAAATATTGAAAATGATGTGAACATGAGAAATGATCGATTTTTATATTGAACAACAAAAATAGAACTCTGACTGATTTGAGGTTTGAATCCAACACATTAAGTAAAGATACGTTAAAATAATTTATAATATGTAATCTATTTTTCCTTTTTGTCATGCAAAATAACCGTTTTTTGAATAACTTAGAAATCATTTAAGAAATCCTTAAATAGAATATTCGAATTCAGCACCTCAAAAATACAGAAATTTTGTTAGATACCAAAATTTTATCTTTCTTTAGTGTCATTTCCTTGTTAGGGATTTCTTTTTCTTTCTTTTTATTTTTAATCTTTCTAACTAAATTTCTGAAAACAGATTGAGTTGTTATGGAATATTCGATATATCTTCGATATTTCATATTAGTTTAGATTGAAAATCTTTAAAGTTCTTTCTTCAGAGGTACTTACTTTCTGGGTCAGTTATTCTTTTGTCACAAACAACCATCCACCATTCCAAGCATTTATTTCTCTCAGAGTCGAAGTACCTGTCGCCAGAACATTCTCTCACTTCTGTTCTATTATCATGACAATAATAGTACCACTTGCACATCCGCTCATGCGTAAAACAACCATGCCGATTGGTGCAATTGAAATCAGATTCTTCATCCACAACTTTGTTGTTTCGATCATCTGCAGAAAACATAATGTCAAGTCAAAAGAATGAAATAAGCAGTAGATTGATAAATAAATTAAGTAATAATACTATTGATAAATGATTTTTATAAAAAGTTGTTTTCACATAATGTGACAGTTTAGTGAAATTTAGTTTTCATACTTTTTGGAAAAAGAATGTGTTGTGTAAATTATTTTAAAACATATGGTTTTATTGGAAGTCAATCCATTTAATACAGGCAGCATATACAAGAAGCCGGCTAGGTGACCGAGTGGTTAGCGTGCTTGACTGCGGGTTCGAATCCCGGTTAGGGCATGGACGCTTCTCTCTGTGTTGTCCTCTGTTGTGTGATATATTTATGAATGTAGCTCATCCTATATACAGGTATTTGCGGCAGTGTGGCGTGATTAATGTTGCTCGCCTCCGTGCCCCTGGTCATAAAGTGTTCACCAGGCAACATTAAATGAGCAAAACTTCCGGCACCTTCCGTGGTTAAGAACGACAAGTTCACTGCCTGCTGTTAAAAAACATATACCAAAAGCGAAAATTTGAGTAATATGAATACATGAACAATGAGAATACACAACAATTAAAATGCGTGAACAATAAACGAGAACAGTGAATATAAAAAGTTACAAAATTAAAGTTAACTTCAGATAAAAGTGTTACAGAGAATTCATTATGCTTCTAGCATCCCAATATAACTTAAGAATATCGCCATTTCTTTGAGATTCTTTATCGAGTCCTGGGTAAGATAGTAAGCGTTCAGCATTCATTTTACCTGCTCTACAGATTGTTGTGTTAAAATAAGCTTTCAGATTTTGCACAGCTGGTAAACTTTTTTCTGGAATACTTTTTATCCCCTAAATATCTAAATATGAGATTTTTCTACTTGCTTGAAATTTAAATTTGGAAAACGATTTAAATAATACACCATTTATATCTTTTATAATCTATTATAATCTATAGTCTTTATGATAGAACTTATAAATCATACTCTAATAGGACAAAAGAGTTTTATATTATTTTAAAAGTTCTTTAGTCTCTATAATGAAACCTTTAATACTCATTTGTTAAAAAAAATCTTTAAAAATACATGTATTTCATAAGATTCATTGTATTTATATAAATAAAGCAAAATGTTTACGTGTTTGTATGTACGTGCCGTATTTATCGGAAATTTTGAACAGATTTCGCAATTTTGCGTCGCAATTTTGCAATTTTGAACAGATTGGCATTCGCAATTTTGAACAGATTCGCACCAAATTTCGTCTAAATATATTTGAAAACTGAAAACGTGGCGGACCTAACTGTCTACTTAAAAACACCTCCGACCACCGGTTTGCGCGCTACGTGCCAGAGAATGAGTTTTCCATGAGCTTTTATAAATCGTTTATTGTAAGGCTGTTTTGCAGCTCTAATAAATTAAAATTTAGTTTTATCGCACGTTTTTATAAATTACTTATCTTTGTTATTGCTCATTTACGTCACACTAGTGCTGCACAATGGGCTATTGGCGACGATCTGAGAAACATCCCTGAGGATGATCCGAAGACATGCCATCACAATTTTGATCCTCTGCAGAGGGGATGGCACTCCCGCTTCGGTAGCCCGACGACCTGCACGCGAAGTCGAGCACTTTACGGTAGAACAGTTTAACGAGGACCCATACCGCACACCCTCGGTCCCTACGCAGGCTGATCCAAGTGGTCACCCACACGCACACTGACCGCAGCCAGTGATGCTTGACTTCGGTGATCTGCTGGGAACCGTGTCTTAACGATCAGTCCACTGCGGGACTATTTATCTTTGATTTCCTATGTTAGGTTATGACAAATAAAATCGACCTTAATAATTCAACGATGTATGGAGAACGATGTCGACCAAAATGGTATTTTAAGAGGTTTATAAAAAACCATGCGCTTTTTTCATTGATACTTGCAATTTAAAAGCGTGTCTCTATTAGCTTAAATATCGGAAACTCAACAAGAACGAAAGAAATAGAATTAAAGTTAACTTTAAAGCCATGGAAAAGTTATGGTAAATTCTGAATATCACGTATTAAATGATTTTATATGTAATCTTTATTTTTGTGAGTTGAACTAATAACTTACTTTATGGTAAATCAAATGTTATGAAGCCGTTGCGGAATATACAACAAATAGCAACAGAAAAAAAAAGGTTGGTTATGTATGTGTAGTATGGTGATATTAGGGTACTCATCAACTTTAGAGAGCAGTAAATACCTATTATCACAATACCTAGATTGATATAATAGGTTCTCATTACCACAGCACCTATAACGCAATAACGGTACTACATTTAACTAAACATTATTGGTGTCAATAATAGTCTGGAAATTTTTTACGTCATTCGAAATAAGTACCGATGTTATTTTGTTCACCAAAAATGATTATAAAAATATTAGTGTCGTTACTAATTGTTTTAAAAAATTACAATTAATTAATTTTGGGAATATTTACAAAAAAAAATTGTATTAAAATGCTAAGTTAATGGAGAAAAGGTACTTATTCGCATCTATATAAACCTTAAAAAATTGCCATATTGTTATTGACACTAATGATGCTTAATTAATTTTGGTAATAGGTACGAACTGAAGTGATAAATTAAGTTTTGTACTAAAAGCTAAATTAATGGAGTAAAGGTACTTATTCATTTAGGAAACCATATAAAATAGCCATATTATTACTGACGCCAATGCTTAGTTAATTTTATTTATAGACATCACTGTTATTATGTCAAGTGATGTTTTTTAATAAGTACTAAATTTGCTATGATTGATATCAAGACACTTCTGTGGAAATAGGCTTTTACGGCCCAGCGAAATCGATATGAATAGGTGAAAATGGTTGATTAGGATATTTTTTGACTATCAGGAATTGACATCGAGCATTATGCAAATTATACTAAATATAATTAATCTTTATTTTGAAGGGGTGAACTTTGAAATACATGTTTTACTTAATCTAATAACATAAAGCTACTGGGAAGGGAAACAATCAATTAAAAAATGGAATTGTTTTAGCTTACTTAATTGTGTCGGTATATGTCTGTCAGTTTTGTGCGTGATTTTGTAGTGTTAATTAATACTGATTTATTGATCATTTACTTTGTTCCCACCTCGTACGTAGAGTGAGTATTCAGCTAGTCTATAATTATAGTTTATAAGTTATTTTGTCTTTATAATACATATAATTTATGAATTGTTTTACCACTATTACACATAGATTTTATGCGTTGTATTATCTCTATAATATACATAATATATATGTATAACATTTACCTTACTTTAATGTTTCAAAAATCAGAATACATTGTTTTTGTAAACTTAAACAGTAGAAGACAAGGGTCTGATGATTTTTGAGCTCTAAAAGTTGTCGTGATTTAGGGTACTAGTAGTGAGCAAACGGAACAGTAAGTTAATGACTTGGTTGCAGCACTGGGGAGCAACTTTTTTTGTTGCATTTATACAAATACTTGATCTTGCCTGATTCGGATGTGAGGATTTCAAATTTAAAATTAGTTTTTCTCTAAGACCAAAGATTTTTTACAATTACATTTTTAGTATAGTAAATTATATTTATCAAAATTTGCAAGTTATAAAACGTTATATATAACAGGGGATAGCGTAAATGTTACGACGCATTTCTAGGGGAGTTAGGGCACATCATAACGACTAAAAGTGCATAAGAACCCATGCCTGGAAATGCCGTCATAGGCGGCCTATTATGACTTGTTCAGAAGCACACGAAAAACAGTTCATAATAGTAAAACGCCTCTAGCGGCGTATGACAACATTTCCGGTCATGGGTTTCCATGCAGTTTCTAGTTCTGATGATGCGCCCTAACTCCCCTAAAAGTTGATTGCAACATTTACGTGACCTGCTATTATATGTAACGTTTTTAAAAAAAATTTGTACATTTCGAGAAAAATAGACTAAAAATGCCAAAGTTACTAAAAACTAGCTTGGAGTGAGAAACCGATTGCAGATTTGAAATCAGCGATGCTAAAATATTCAAATTAAAAAATGTTATGCAGCAGATAGCAAAAAAAAAAAAAAAAAAAAAAAAAATTGTTTCTCATCGTAATAGTTATGAAAAAAAGTCGAATAATGATATTGAATCATCTGTTATTCCAATCAGTTCATATATTTTCGATTTAAAAAAAGGCCGTCATTTAATAGCTCAGTCTTGTATATGAGGTAACTGTTTGATAGCCAAAATGTTTGTACTTTACTGTCATCCATGAAAATATCAGAAAGTTGAAGCAAAATTTCAATGACTTTAATCAGTTTCTGAGAAAATTAAAGATGCGATAAACAGAATAGAGTTTATCACAAAATATTTAAAATGATGAGATTCATGACTTAGGTTTGTATCTTAACTAATAAGAGTTTTTACTTTTGAAATGTTAGCTGAAAGAAGCTATCGAGCACTCTTGTGGCTTGCACCAAAAGACTATGTGGCTTTTTCTCTTGCAGTGCTACTTATCAATAATTTTACAAAGAAGTTATTTAAGTATATATAAATTAACATTTTTGTTTTTTAAAATGTTATCGCAAGAAATCATAACTTATTAAAAAAATAATTTTCAAGTTTACTAATCTTTAGCCTTGAGCAATCTGTTATTTATACCTTTAGGGTGTATACGTTTTCCACAGTTAGTTTCTTCTTCGTCAATGCATCTATTTTGCTCTAAATTGAAAAGTTCCTTTTCTGGACACAGTTTAGTTTCTACCACTCCACCTTTGCAAACATGATATTTTCCACAGTTGGTTTCGTGCGGATAAATTCCGTTTTCTGTTGGACACACAAACGGCGTTTCTGTGGTACTGCCTGAAAAAGATACAAATGGAAGTTATAAACTTTTTTTTTATCCCTTAACCCTTTTTATCCTTTAATCCCTTAATCATTCAGGAACGTGATTTCATATACGTGACCTAGCGATTCTTCCTTCCTGGCCTACGGTATTATGTATTCAACGAGCCTTGCTGACACCAGCATGATCACATACACGGCATCCAATTTTGGTATTCTCGTATTAAATCTTGTATTAGAATGTATACGTATACTTTAGTGCGTTTACTCTTATAGTCTGGTAAAGCACTTTTTTTTTCTTTCGCAGGTCCTGAGGGGATTAATTTAAAAATGTTCTAATTTGTCAAAATGTTCATATGTTGCCATTTATTTATCCAAAAGACATTGTTTTAAAAATGCTTTTTGATAACGTATTTTTAAAAGACATATCTAAATTTTCGTTTAGCTTTAAATTCACATTTAAGTTTTTTCAATTTGTCATTAATTTAAGTGACAGTGAAACCCGTGTATGTAATACCAAACATGATTTATATCATGTCATTCCTATGTATCCCAACAAAGATAGAATGCATTAATTTTTTTTAACCTGATTTAAAAATTTTATTTAGTGAATACCATCTTAAGAAATAAGTATAATTACCACATTGTGAGGTATTATGAGATTAATTATTGGAATGAATTACAATTCATAATATAAATTTAATGCTTAACTGGTTATAATTAAAAACCAAAAATGATCTGTATTCACTTTATTCCTAACAAAAGTTCTTTTTATTATCAGCAGATGACAGTACAAAAAAAAGGCGTTTTTAACTCTTGATGATACGAATGCATTGATTTATACTAATCTGAGCTATAATGTCATAGGAAAACTGCAATACTTCAGTTTAATTAATTGTTTTTAGGATACTGGGTGCATATTTTATTACTTCTGTATGCCAGTTGCTTTCGTATAACAAATAATTTCTTAAAATATCAGCAGCACAAAGAAACATATGAAATTCGCCGACTTAACATTATTTATGTTACATTTTGTTTTGCTGCACAATAATTTTGAGGCTTGTAGGAAATAAATTATAATGATATTACAAAAGTGTGCTGCAAAATGTACAGGGAATACGATGTAATGTTACCACGTGTTGAGACGTTGCCAGATCTTAGACATTTATACTGAATTTTTCAAAGAATAAAAACCTAACTCAAGAATGATAAAAAACTGTTATCTACAAGAGCTTATATTACGACGTTATGATATTGAAAAGGAGTAAAATTACTTCGTTTTTTTTTCTTCTTTTTGTGTCACGTATTCAGTTTTTCTAATCCACGAAATCATTCATTTTGTTTCGATTAACATGTTAACTAAATGTTCGTACATTAAATTATAATAATCACATGTTTTATTAATAAAATGATGTTTGATTTCTTGAAAAGGAGCGGAGCCACCTGGAATTTATTATTTTTTTAATGCTAACTTACTAATCAATTGTTATAAAAGTCCTTAAAAGATTCCCCATTCGGTACACTTACTGATGAGTTTGTTAAGCTTTTAATGCGATTTCCCCAATCCACGAAATTGAATATTTACAGAAAAAGTTTTTTTTCTGGTCAACTTATGAAATGATAAGAATAGCAATTCAATTGCATTCCTAGATAAGTTTGGTTTATTTAAGCGGTCAACATACAAGTTAGACCGGTAGTCATGTTACAAAGACTTATGCTCATTTCTATTACAAACACGGAGAAAAAAATTCTGGTAAAATTACCGTAAATCTGTATAGGAATGACATTTCTCTCAAAGTTTTTTTTCTGGTACTAAGAAAAGAAAATTTCGTATGTAAATTATTCATTTGGTACTTTTTTCGTTCATAAGGTAACGGTTTACCAGAAATTTTGATTTTCAAAATTATAGTTCATATTACCACACATTTAGTAAAAACTACAAAATTGATAAGTAAATTTAACTTAATAAATTATTTTTTCGCTATACTCTAAGATATTATAAAATTACCAAATTTTATAACTTTTACCGAATTGTATCACCTATTATAAAACTATATTTCATTATTAATTTTACCAAAATCATTAAAAAATACCCATGTTTGGTGTTCCCATATTCTGGTAGTTTTGATAATATTTATTTGCTTAGTATATACGATCAATTCGGTTTCATTGTATCTTTTAATCAATATAATACAGAGTGTAAATATAGTCAATATGTACACCGAAGAGTCATTACATTATGACCACCCTGATAATAGCATGTAGGACCACCTTTAGCCCTCAAAACTGCTAGCACCCGCCGTGGCATTGATTCCACAAGGTGCTGATAGGTAGTCTGAGGTATCTGGTACCAAGCGCTCACCAACTGGTCCTGCAATTCCCTCACATTGCGAGGGGGTTGTTAGCTTTTACAATACTTATACCATCAGCCAATCGTTTTGGTTCATCTTCTAAATATCCTCTGAGAAAAACATGTTTATTAATTGATGATAGATTTGGATTATCGTCTACAGACGTTTTAAATTGTTCCCAAAAACATTGCCATTGTTCAACGTCGCCACGAAAGGGTTCTAATTTTATTGTCGGTAGTTTTACATTTTGTTGTGGTGACACAGAATTCACATTTTGAATCGGAAAGTTAGTAACATTTGGTGAATCTACAGTCTCATTCTTGTTTTGATCTTCTTTCATTGCACGATTTGCATCAAAAATCGCACGCTTGGCGTTATCCGTATACTCTTGGCATTGCGCTACATCAATTTCGTATTCTGCATCCGAAAGTAATATGCGTATATCATTATCCACTATTTCCATGTCATTAAGTACTTCGGCAAGACGACTACAAGTGAATTCAATATCGGCATTCGAAGTAGAATTTAAAGTGTCCTTTAGTTGGCTAATGAAGCGAGTAATATTGGCTCGAATTGTTCTACGTTTGCGTTTCAATAGCGCCATGTTGTCAGCCGAATCATTTTGTGTTGAAGTCATTCTGATTAAGTGGAAAGGAAATAAAAATGAAGTTACGTAAATAAATTCTCACCTCTTTAAGCGCAGGAACGTAATTTTTTGTCTTTCAAATCCTGGTCCGTAGTAAGGTTGAGTATTTTGGCACCATTATGTTAGTTTTTACATTCTTTTATTTCCACAGACATACAGAGACGAATGATAAACAAAAACATTAATAATAAGAAAAAGTCGTTTGGTTGCCTAGCAACCAGCTGGAGTTGCAGTTATTATATCGGCAGACGATTTAAAACAATTATTAAAACTAACTGTTTATTGTTGACGCAACTGGGGTAGTGTGGCAGCACGAATTTGGTTTTCCAAGTAGGACCACAAATGCTCTATTGGATTAAGGTCAGGTGAATTTGGGGGCCAAGACATGACTTGAAAGTCACTGGAATATTCCTCGAACCAATCCATGACGATTTGACCCTTATGACGTGGAGCATTATCCTGTTGGTAAACACCATCCCCCTCAGGAAAAACTGTTGCCATGAATGGGTGAACCTGGTCTGCAACTATGTTCAAGTAGCTTACAGACGTCAGGGATTGTTCTATGAGGATTATGGGTCCTAATGTGCCCTATGAAAACATTGTTCCTGGGCGAGAAACCATGAAAACCTGGGTGAGCCCATTGTTATAGATGGAGGGTGGTCATAATGTAATGGCTCTTCGCTGTTTAAAATGATACAATAAAGAGAATAATAGTATACTTTAGTTACGTAAACTATTTTTCTCTTTATTATACTATTATTCTCGAGCTATATGTATACTATATTTCTCAAGCTACATTACCTGGCGTAGTTCTAGTGAATGGATAAGGTGTAGAAGTTCTTCGATCTTCGTAAGTGCTTTGGAAATCATCAAACGTGTGATCAAGTTCTGAAAAGAAAGGAAGATTATTTAAATTATTTCAGTTTATTTTTAATCTCACCCCTATTTTAATTCTTAATTATACCAAACACAAATTCGGAGAGCTATAGCACCACAGTTTTTACAGTGAGTGAAGATAATTATAAAAACATTACTTTACGTACCATCAGGTCGAAGTCTGTTTCCACAGTGAACCAAGTACCAATCTTCGCAGCGTTCCCTGTGACTGTCAAAAGCTTGACCTTGAGGGCACTCTTTTAGAACTGCCTTATTGTTTTTGCAAGTGTAATAGTAATTGCAGTGTTTTTCATGAGCAAACAATCCATCAGTTCCAGCGCAATCATAATCTGGGTTTTCATCTATTACATTATCTTTATTTTTATCTGTCAGAAATATAGAAATAAAACATAAACATGATTTTGTATTTATCAAGTAGTGAAGAAATTAGTACTTTTAAATTTATAACTTTAATAAATGCTTCTTGCAGAGTTTTTTTTTTTTTTTTTTTTTTTTTTTTTTTTTTTTTTTTTTTTTTTTTTNTTTTTTTTTTTTTTTTTTTTTTTTTTTTTTTTTTTTTAAACTGAAATTTGCACTCCCATTAAGAACAGCTAAACATTTCTTTGCCTCAATCTCCTGAATAATTCTTCTGAAACTTTTTTTCTCAAATGTGTCATTTTAGTTCCCATAAACTAAGTGCATATGTAGTTATTAAAAAAAGCCATTGAAATATTTTACGTGAAATAATTATTATTTTTTTAAACAAAAGTATATTTTTTTAAGCAAAATCATTTTCTGGGAGGGCTATAACTTTAGACTGTGTTAAGGAGTTAGTACTTTCAATGCACAGTAATGCGTAGAACACTTCAAATTTTATATTTATATGCAGGATGCTCCATAAATATTGGTAGAAACTTTAGGGGTTGCAGAAGCACATCATAAGAATTGAGAGTTGCACTGAAATCCATAGCCGGAAATTCATCGTACGCCGCCAGATGTACTTCTACTTCTTTGTTATGGAGTAGCGTGTCTTTGATCTAGTATATTTATTTATTTAAATTACCTAAATTTTATGTTTTTTACTAATTATTGTCAAAAATCGTTTCAAATAGGTTCAGAATTAATTTAATTATTTAGGGGACTCACTTAGAGTCGCCAACTCATTATCCTCAATTAACTTTTGACAATTTTCAATTCTTATGATAGGCCCTAGATCTCCTTAAAGTTCGTATTAATATTTATGAGACACCCTGTATAGCATTGAAAGATAGTGATTTCAAACTGCTTCTCGTTGTTGTATGGATCATTCTTATTGGGTAGAAAAAACCATTTGATGAGATCCTTAACTAAAATGGAATATCCGGAAATCTTTGGCTGCCATCAGCATAAAATTAATCTAAGTAATAATCTCTTTTTAACTGTAAAGTCCTTATCATCTGTAAAATATTTATTTCTTATTCAATGTTGTTTTTGTTTTATTTTATGTGATGTGATGTTGCTAACATTGCCTGCACATGAGCCTGTGACGGGCAAAAAACTTGTAAAAGACAATGATTAGGTACCTTTATGCCCATAAAACTACACGATCACAACCGGACATTGATAGTATTAAAAAAAAGGATAGTTTGAATTTACCAGTGGAATGTATGTCGGGTTACCAAGGAGGGGGGCTTAGGTCGAAGAATTGTAGTAAGTAACTGTCTGAGCATATCTTTCCATATGTACCTTTGTACCATATATACCTCCCTCCTTTGTACAAATGGAATTAGTTTACCAGTGGTATGTGAATCGGGTAACCAAGGAGATGTTGAAGATTTATAGTATATAATAGAAATTTGTTGAGTGTACGTATCTTTTCATGTATCACCCGCTTTTGAACAGAGGGAATTATTTTTCCATTGGCGTCTGTGTCGGGTAACTAAGGGACACGCAAGGTGAATGAACAACTTGATCAAGTGAATCTGAAACATCAAGGGGTTTAGATTTATAGAATAAAATAGAAACTTGGTGAGTGAACGTATCTTTCATGTATCACCTGCTCTTGTACAGACAGAATTAGTTTACCATTGGCATGTGTGTCGGGTAATTAAGGGGCGCACATTGAAGATTTAAAGCATAAAATGTGTCGGGTAACTAAGGGGCACACATTGAAGATTTAAAGTATAAAACAGGAGCTTTCCATGAATCACATGCTTTTGACTGATAGAATTAGTTTACCATTGGCATGTGTGTCGGGTAACTAAGGGGCGCACATAGAAGATTTAAAGTATAAAACAGAAACTTAGTGATTGTACGTTTTCTTTTGTGTATCACTCGCCTTTGTAAGGTGAATGCTTTGAACTGTTTGAAACTGGATAGATATTTTAGGGTAACCTTGTGATTTCAATAATCCATCGTTTGTAGTAAGGTTGAGTATTTTGGC